AACCTTTGGCAAGATGGCAAACATTGCGCAGGAACCGCAGGCAACTGCAGCTGTTCCCTCCCCCTCCATCTTGAGAACGTGTCGTTGGGGGTGGCTACAGCGGTCCTCCATCATAAAAAGCGTGAAGACAAGAGAAATAACTCCCCCCCAAAAAAACCCTAGGTCTCCCCCAACAAACATTTGAGACTAGCTCCCCTAAATCTAAAAGATGGATCAAACTGCGCGCGCCGCTAGGCTGCCCTGCAAGTTCTGATAAGCTCCTCCCACAGCTAATCACCTGCCTCAACAGAAACCCTGCACCCCTCTGACCTTTGCACAGGGAGAGCAGCTAATCAGCCACAAAGAAACACACACACACACACACACACACACACACACACGAAAACCCTTTTTGCTCCTTCTTCAGCTGCTGCCCTGCAAGCTCTGATAAGCTCCTCCCACAGCTAATCACCTGCCTCAACAGAAACCCTGCCCCCTCTGACCTTTGCACAGGGAGAGCAGCTAATCAGCCACAAAGAAACACACACACAAGAAAACCCTTTTTGCTCCTTCTTCAGCTGCTGCCCTGCAAGCTCAGAGCTGTAGAAAATTCAAATGCTTTGCATCTGCTACATTCATATTCCTGCACCTTGTACTAATCAGATACATCGTTCCTTTGCACTGCAAATAAATTTATATGCCGAAGGCAATCTGAAACTATTAACATGCAAGCAGTTGCTGTTTGTTAGGGATATAGTACTTATTGTGGGCATCTTTAAGGCAAATGCTTAAAAGGGGTAGATGAATTTTCTGAAGCATAATTCTTCCCTTCCTGTGATATTTGTTCCAAGGGTTTGTTTTATCAGTCCACAAGGCTGAAACATCTGCTTGTAGGCTTACATGTTCTTCTTCTTCTTCTTTTTTCTCTCTCTCTCCCTGAAGCAATGTCACACTAAAAGACTGAGAGGCTCTATTTTTAGGCTTTTTTATTACAAACAACACAAGAATTATTCTCAAAATAGCAAGTCCATCAAATTAGTTCGCTAAAATTATTTCTTTAAAGTCACCTGTTCCAAGGCAATGGTTTCCCTCCTTTTTTTTTTTTTTTTTTTTTTGGAAGCAGGGGCTTATGATATATGTCTGTGATTTTCCACATATCTCATCTTGAGAAATTGCCTCATAATGAGATATTTGTGATATTTCAGGTCTATCAGATGATAGGAACCTAATACCTCCTAATCTTGGGGACAATTTCCTTAACTTATTTCCTTTAATAAATGTTGGGTGATAAGTGTGTGTGTGTGTTTTATCCAGGCAATTTTGTGCTAAAACCTAGAGCATATTAGTGAGAAGTACGGAATCAATTATTCCTGAGTTATCAATGACATTAGATTAGAAACACAATGGCTTACTTAGCATTCACAGATCTCTAATAAAGTATATTACACACACTTAATGACAGCTATATGCAAGCTGAAAAGTTAATAACATTGTTTTCCTTTCTTTTTAATTTATACTGGTTCATCAGATTGTGATTTGCATCAAGGGTGAGAAGCCTGCAGCCAGAGGGCTCAGCCTAATTAAATGCATGTGACAGGGGAGCCCAGAGGGAGAGGAGGAAGGGGAGAAATGGACAAAATGGATGGAGTGATGGAAAGAGGCAGAGAGGAGTTCTCTGCAAATGATCAGATCTCTGGCAAGATATCCCTTCCCAAGCAGCCTGCTCAGTAGGGGACAAGGGTGGTGGAGAGAAAGGAGTGGCAAAAAGAGAAAGGGCATCCCTACCCACTTTGGCCCTGCCCACCACTGGCTGTGGCCCTGTCCACTGTCAGCATGGGGATGGCCTTCAGAAGGAAAAAGATTATCCATCTGATTAGACAGTACCATATTTGCTCAGAACAGTGTGCCTCTGATTAACTACCAATTCCTGAGGACATACCTTGCTGCCTTGCTTCTGCAGTCCAACTGATACCTGCTTGTCTGCTGCCAGGCATAAAATATGCTGGAGAATGTGGCCTATGTTTTGATCAAGCAAGAGTGCTTCTTATTTTAGGCTCATTACCCTAATGGGCAGGTAGAATCTTGGGGGGCTAAGGTCATTTAGTCAACTGATTCCTCATAAACAGGGCCATCCACTCATCAGATCAATCAATATTACTCTTTTAAGGTCAGTCAAATCTACAGACTGCAGCAGAGCATCATCTGAAATTCATGTGCACTATATAAAAGGTTACTACCGAGCAAATGCTCCCAGGTGTTTCAAGAAAGGCTTGCATACACATTGAACCCTTAAAGCACACGGTTAGCATGTTCCTTCCCTCCAAGAATTCTGGGTAGTAAAGATTACCCCTCAGATTCTAGAGTTACAATTCACAGCAACCCTTAACAAACTATAGTGCCCTGAATTGTGTTTTTTTTGGCGGGGGGGTGCTTTCAATGTGGTCTAAAGTACAAACAATCAAGCCATACCCAGTAGCAGAAGGCAGAAACCTTCAAGGTTATCTAGCAAACATAAGGTGGCAGAAAATTTTTGCCCAATAAACCCTGTCAGTAAAATCCATTCACTGAGGCCAACTTTCTGTGTGAATGAATGTAATGAGATTGCACTTAATGAGTTTTTAGAAACCCCTCCAATCCTTTGCTTTTATATTGCTAAAGTTGGATTTTACAGAAAAACAGACCACTAAAAAGTTTGATCCAGTTTCTTTGTTAAGTAAAGAGCCTGGTCAGGTCTATTATAATATCCACTTTATAATGTAAGCTAGGATAATGAACAGGAGTTCCACAGCCTGTGGCCCTCCATTTATTGTTGTTGGACTCCCATCATCCCCAACCAGCATGGCCAATGGTCAGGCATGATGGGAACTGTAGTCCAGCAAACATAGGTTTTCCACCCCTGTGCTAGAAGAGGCAAGGGAAATCCAACACTCTATGCTAGAGGAGTGTGCACCTTTCCAATTTTAGTAGGCTAGGCATGTTCCAGAGAGGCTTTTCCAGAACTCTATACCTCTGATCATCAAAATACTTTGATCAATTGCATGGTTCTTTTACAAAGCGAAGCAAACCTGCAGTACTTGTGTTAGGCACAGCCCTCCTTGATGGAACCATACGTTAAAAACTTTTCATTCCTTAGACAGTACTGGACTGATATGAACAGAAAGCCCTTGAAACTATCTGTCTCGGCCACTCTTCAGAGCAGTGAATCACACGCCAATAGCAGATCAAGGAACAGGGGTGGGGTGAGGGGCTGAGTCTGATTTCCATAGCCCCCGCGTGCTCATCAGTTGAACAGGTATTCATTACTGCCTGTTGCTCTCTTTCTCTTAATTGAGGAAGGGAATGCCAGCGAAAGGTTACGCTCGTGGCTTGAGCCCATAAATTATGCAATATCACAGTGTGAAACTGACTGACTGGTTACACACCACATTTCAAACATGTCAAACCAAGGCGCATTTCTCCTTTATTAAAGTGACTCATACACATCTGAGAGAATGGAAGCGTGAGCCTGAGCCAGCGTGGCTTCCCAGCCAAATCAGAGCTTAAGTAACAGTCTATTACGCCAATTAATTCTAACCTCATAGGATAAGTCGGAACTTCCATTCAAATTGGCGTCTCTGTAACATTGCTTTTCCTCCACATTGGGCAGTTTAGAGTTAGAAGCACCGTGCTGCAGTCAGCCTTGGGGAGGGTGGAATGAGAGGCTACAGCTATGCAATACATTCAAGGTAGGCATAATATATGGACAAGGTACTCCCTGGCTCATGGTTCAGGCTCTTAGCCACTACGCCACTCTAGCTCAGTTTATTAACAAGTCCATCAAGGGCTCATTTGATCAAACCTCAAACCCTACTAACAAATGAATGTAGACTCAGAGTAACTCTAATTATGGGAAATTAGAAGCTGGAAGATTTACCAAAGACATTCTACTTTTCTTATAATAGGGAATCATGAGGATCTTTGTAGAGAAGGGAAGTCTGACTTTCTCTATTTAGCCATTCTTAAATTCTGCAACATGGAGGTGATGTGCAGGGGAGCATGACTCCCTCACCATACCCTCCCTACATGATTACTATCCTCTCATGATCAGGAATCTGGAGCATGAGGAAGACTGTCATTTCAGCCAAACACACTTAAGAGTCTGCCTTCAGACCTTTCCTCTCAGTACTAGAAGGACAGGGGTGTGTGCCAGCACACATATCCATGCACCCCCTGCACACATACAAATTTAAGAATATCTGAACAGGGCTATTCCTTGCCTTTCTCCCCTAATAGTAAGTAAGTATACTATGACTACTGAGCACACTCGCTCTTTTGGACTTTTTTTCAGGGAACCATGTCCCCTCCCGCTTAAGACCTTTTCCCCTTTAAAGATTTTTTTTCATACGATGCTTCCCTAAGCCTGCTGATTATCTCTCCCTTGTATGCGAGGGGTGCCCTTTTGGCTCCGCAAGCAATTATCCTCGTCCTCTGAACATCAGGTCCTGTTTATTGTTTCTGTCTATGCTACGAACAAGGCGAGTTTCCTATGGTTTAATTACCGTGCGCTCTCCGTTGCAGTTATTGTTAAATAATTAGGAGCCAGAAGAAAGCCTCGACGTACTGCAAATCACCCCGCAATCTGTCCAAGAGCGCCCCCATCTGCCTTCTACGCTATACGCTACTACCAGGTTCAGCGGCAGTGTAACCTGCAAGTACCACCTGCTGGAAGCAACAAGAGGTACAACAGGGCTGTTGCCTCCATGCCAGGCTTTTGGACTCTGCAGAGGCAACTGATTATAGTCAGGGAGATGCTGAGCTGGACATTCCTTTGAATGAACCCACCAGAGCTACTTCTTATGTTAACAAGCCTTATTTTTCCTCCCCTGGCCACCCAACCTCTCTGCTCCGCGCTACTCCCTTAGCACACCTCTCGCAACGTTCGACAGCTCGCGCCGCAAAGCCTTTCTGCCCCATTACGACACTGTCGTAAGCGGCGGTAATAAAGCAGCCGTCTCCATCCCGGAAGCCGGGTTCGCGCTTTACGTCGCGCCTGAAGCCGGAAGTATCCGGAGACGGGGTTTCGTTTCGTTGTGTTTACTGCCTCCTCGTCGCTTGTTCTCGGCTGTCGCCGGGGCGGCCGGCGGCGGCATGGACAGGAAGAAGAAGCCGCTGGATGTTACGGTTTCCTCGGTGAGTGGCGAAACGGGGAGGGAGCCCATAGGGTCCCGGGCACACACACACACCGCCGCCTTTGCCCTTCTTCGCCTGCAAAGGTGGCTGAGCTGGAACGGGGCGCTCTGCACATGCTCGGGGGTACAGTGGTACCTCGGGTTACATACGCTTGAGGTTACATACGCTTCAGGTTACAGACTCCGCTAACCCAGAAATAGTGCTTCAGGATGAGAACAGATATCGTTCTCCGGCGGCGCGGCAGCAGCAGGAGGCCCCATTAGCTAAAGTGGTGCTTCAGGTTAAGAACAGTTTCAGGTTAAGAACGGACCACCGGAACGAATAAAGTACGTAACCAGAGGTACCACTGTACTTGGAAAACCCAGCATTACTACCTTTGGCATGACAGAAGAAGTTGCCGCCCTTGCACAGATTGTGAGCCGCCCAGGCTAAGATGTGGGAAACAAATGGTTTCTTTGTGCGCCCTTAAGCTCTAATTTACTTGTCTTTTTTAATTTTTATGGTTGTAAGTTGCTTTAAATTGTTAATACTGTGGTTTTAATGCTGTAACCTGCCTCGGGACCTTAGGGTTGAGGCGGGGGGGCGTGTAGTAAGAATATCTACCTTTCGACATTAGGGACATTAGGGTTGAGCGCCAGGTATAAGTTAAGCCCCTTTTCTCATACACCTCAACTGCTCTGCTAATTCCAAGGGCCTCCCTTGATGGTGAACCTTTCAGATTGTCAAGACCATCTTGACAGTTCCTGGGCTCTTTAAATGCAAAGAGGTCCTGATGAGAATGTAATTTTCCAGCTCTTTCCGTGTCCTGATAATTCAAATATTTCAGAAAGCGTTGTTAAGGGGAGCGGAAACCCAATTAGGTTTTAGGATCATTTTTAGGTCTAGCTCACTTCTTCATTTAAAAATATTTTAGCTACCCAGAGTACAATAAGATTTTTATGCTGTTGATGTAGACAGCTATCAGACCTGTTCATTCAAGCCAACCAGAATGTACTACTCTTAAGTGAAGTACAGACCAGTGTTTTTAGAAGTGATGCCATCATTGGCTCCCAGTACGTTTCTGGGCACAATCCAAAGTGTTGGTGCTGACCTTTAAAGCCCTAAACGGCCTCGGCCCAGTATACCTGAAGGAGCGTCTCCACCCCCATTATTATGCCCAAACACTGACGTCCAGCGCTGAGGGCCTTCTGGCAGTTCCCTCGCTGCGAGAAGCGAAGTTACAGGGAACCAGACAGAGGGCCTTCTCAGTAGTGGCGCCCACCCTGTGGAATGCCCTCCCATCAGATTTCAAAGAAATAAACAACTATCTGACTTTCAGAAGACATCTGAAGGCAGCCCTGTTTAGGGAAGCTTTTAATATTTGATGAATTATTATATTTTAATATTTTTCTGGAAGTTGGCCAGAGTGGCTGGGGAAACCCAGTCAGACGGGCAAGGTGTAAATATTATTATTATTGTTATTATTATTATTATACATGAAAATTCTGAGCAGTCGGTCAGACACCTGAGCTATCCCACTGCTGTGTTGCAGAATGCTCGGGTAAATTTTTATTCACATTTTTGGGGGGGTTTGCATAAAAGAAACACTTGGGTAGGCATGTTCAATGTCTGATAAGATGATGATGGATATTCTCTTAGGAATATAAATATTCTGCTTGATCAAGTATATTGATTGGGAGAGTGAGCTGGGACTGACAATCTCATCAATTCCCTCTGCAAATCGTTTTTAAAATGACTGATTAAAAATGACAGTGTACACTATAATGTTCCATAAAATAAACTGTGTTGCAATTTAGTGTTTTAAATTGGAGGTTGGAAACCTTTTCAGCTTGGTAAGTTGTGTTCTTACATCCTCACCTCCCCCCAAGAACCACTGTGATAGGAGGGAAATAACATCAGGTGACCCATTTTTCCTTTGCTGCCAAGAATGATCCCAGTCAATGCAAGTGTGGCATATCAACTGAGTTTTCAAAATAATCAAGTTTTATCTGAGGTAATCAAATACCAGTCCTTGACTTTTTGTAAGGCTATAGATTAAAGAACATCTGAATCTAGAACTGCTTATTACTCCTATATTATATTGGGTATATTTCTAACCAAACATCGCATGGGGTAAAGTTTTGTCAACCCTCACTTTATTTGCGCTGGTCACCTTACCAGTATTTTAATTTTTCAAGGTTGTAAGTATTTCAGTTGCTGGACTATACAGTAGTTGCAAATTTATGTTCTTTTCCTCTGAGACTCATTTAAAGTTCTTTATTGTCTTGCTAAATGGAAAATTGTCTTTCTTTTTCACTTTGCTTGATGCAGCTCATAGACTTGAAAGCTGAACTTTTCCGAAAACAGGAAGAATTCAAAAAAGAAAAACTTCTGAAAGATGCTGGAGTCCCTGTAAAACCCAAAGCAACAAACAAGGTAGAGTTTGTTTACCATTCAATCCTATAACTATCTGCTCAGAAATAAGTTTGCTGAATTCAATGGGAATTGTACATAGGATTGCAGCCTACAACTTAATAACCTTGTTGAATTCAGTGGGACTCTAATTCAAGAGTGATCTTCTCCTTGAACAGCTGCCTGAAATTCTGAACAGTAGTTTGCAGAAATGTAACAGGCTCAAGGCTAATGAGCTAAAAAGATGCAATTTGAAAAATTGTGTAAACTGACATTCAATAATTTTGTAGTTCTCTATATTACAGAATAGACCTTCTTGTTTTAAGAAGGAGAGCCTGTAGAACCCCATGCTATTGTTAGGCAACTTACTTGCAAACCATTTATTACATTTAGGAAGAGTTTTGTAGGGATGGAAAGCTTTGGTGCGCTGGATATAGGCTAGGGGCCTTATGTCACACACCTGAGCTCTAATGTATTTAGAACTGGCCAGTACTGGAGCCTAGATGATGGAAAGATCTATCTTTTTTTAAAAAAAACAAAAAAATAAAAGCCTGCTGGATCAGGTGAAAAGTCCATCTAGTCCAGCATCCTATTCTCACAGTAGCCAGCCAGATGCCTTTGGGAAGCACAGAAGTAGAATCTGAGTGGAACATCTCACTCCCCTCTTGCAGTTTTCAGCAACTTGTGTTCAAAAGCATGCTGCCTCTGACAATGGAGGTGCTGGATGTCTACGACTATTTGTGATAACTGAACTCTGGTATAGTATTTATGTTTCGTTTTGAAAACTTAATGTTACAGAAGCCAAGCATTTGGACTAAACAGAATAAAGGTGTTTCAGATCGATCTGAGAAAGATGCTGAACAAAAGATAGAAGAGCAACAAACATTGGACAAATCAAGGTAATACTTCTGAGAAGGGAAGACATAAAATTTCATTAGTCTGGTTACATATTATACACTGAACAAATGTAAAATAGGACTGTGTGCTTCAGAGTTGATGCTCAGTTTCTGCTTCTGAAATTAGTTCTGAACTTTTGCAGCCCTAGGCTTGAATGCCTGTGCTATAGACAGTAATTTCTCTGACACCAAGTGTGTAACCATTTGTGCATCTGATGCCACAGGTTGCCTGTTAAAATGCATCTGAAGTCCATTTCTAAGGGTGTGATTTATCAGACAGTTTGCACATGAGAGAGTTCAGATTCAGGCATATGCTCCTTTGAAATACATCCCCAACTTTGTAGGACGCTCATCAGCATTTTTGCTCAGAAGTCTCAGTTCACTTCAGTGGGTCATTCGTCCCTAGGGAAGTGCTCAGGATTGAAGTCTATCTGCAAATAAGAAGAATAAGTAATGTCCTTCATTCTCTGTGTGTGGGGAGTGTAACACTCTTTGCATTTTGACAATTATGTACAGCATCACATTCTTGGAGATTTGGTGTCTTTCCAACTGGAACTAGTAGTATCCCTCTTTTCCCATCTCCTTGTTCCTGAGGGCGCTAAGGAACAAATGGCTTGGAACGCACAGGCAAATTCATTAAAAACTGTGGCATTACAGAAAAGGAAGGAACAAGGAAGGAAGTAATGTGCACAGAGAAGAGAGAATTGTGCTTGCAGCTAGGGCTCCTGTTGTTTCTACCAAAATAAGTTGCTTTATTAAACCGAAAAAAGTTTCTCCCTAGCATTGCTATGTTTTGATAGTGCCCATGGCTTTGATTATTGCCTTCTGGGCCTCTAGGAAAGCACTGTAGCCTCTTTTTTAAAAAAGTAAAATTGCCTCCGTGTGATTCCTCCTGAGAGGTCCTTGTATATATGCATGCCCATGAATGTGTGGAGGATGTTGCTGTTCTGTCCACAGTTACATCAGTAGTGACCCAGTGTTATCACCATTCCACGCTTGGGATTCAAAAATGCCCCTGTTGCTGCTGGTTTAGGTCGCATAGGCTGCCTTAAGAGGAAGCAGCCTTGACTGCAGGCAATGATGTAAGAAATGAAATCTTTCTCCCATATCTGTAATGGCAAAAGACTTCTTGCTTTCTCATGGTTAACTGAAAGGGATGTGTTCCTGTGTTTTGTAGGCAGAAACTAGAAGAGAAAGCACAGCTCTATGAGAAGATGACAAAAGGAGATTTTCCAGGTGAGTGAAAGCCTTCTTCTTTATGTACAGCAGAATTGGCAACTATCTCCCTAGGATTGCTTGTTAGACTCTGTTTTCTGCACATTGTCATGTAGCGTGGTCAAGGGCATTGTTGGCAGCCGTAGAGCTGATTGCTGCAATTTTATATTGACTCCTCTCTCGGCTGGGTCCTTTTGATATCTGTCATTTACAGATTGATTTTTCTGTTTTAGATGAAGAAGCTGAGGATTTGTACCTTGTGGATTTCACCCAGAAGATTATAGACAAACGGAGAGAAGTACAGGAGCTGTGTGCAAATGAAGCTGCTAGAAAGGCAGCAGAGGAGGCAAACAGGGAGGAAGAGAGACTTTCTGAAGCAGAAATGCCACCTCCTCAGGACCCCACTGAAGAATGGTTTGTGGTTCAATCTTGTTTTCTATTATTTCTCTGCAATTACTACCATCATTCCCATACCACCTCCCACACAGAGAGCATCTCTTAAGTGAAGGATACTACTAATCTGTAGTTAACTTTCTTACCTATAAGGAAACAGTATTCCATGAGTTTTTCTTGCAAAAGAATTTCCAGTATACTATGCTTTTTCATATTAAGGGTGATTCAGTTGTACGTTTTCCTTGGTTAGATGTTGCATGAATTTCACCCTCTCCTCCATTTAGAATAGAGTTCAGTCATAATATTTTTTTGAACAGCATTTTTAAGTTTGATTCATATGCAGAAGCCATTAAATCAACCAGCTGAAATTCTGTTCACTGTTCTCCTATCGGATGTATACACATGTCTTAGATAAACAGCCACCTTTCCCTTTTTAGTAGCAATATTTTCATAAAACAGAAGTGCATACTTTTTAAAAGCATTGATATTTGTCAGTCTCTCTTAAGACTTCTGTGAACTTGTTGGCCCATAAGATCACAACTGCTATTTTCCTGGCTTGCCTGGAGCTGCTGTATTTAAGCTTGCGTTACAGAAGTTAAATTTCTAGATATTTCAATTTACTTTAGATGTAAAAGCATGCATCTTGCAAACAGTCATCTTAGTACTACAAACAACTCATAAATTGTTTTCTGGACAGTCAGTGAATGTGTAAGAAAAGTGTTGAGATGCTGCAAGGTTTCTCTCCCTGCCCCCCTGCCCCCAAATCGGCCCCCAGAGTTGGAAAAAACTCGGAGAAACATAAATTGGATACCTACCAGTAGGTCTCCTGGGGGGTGGGTAGAGATAGAGAGAGCTACTCCTGGGTCCTTGGCATTCTTGGAAAAAGCAGCATAATGAAAGCATAACTCATTGATAGCTAATAATTAGCACTGCATGCTGGGCCCATCAGCACTTTGGACAACTATGTGTCTGTGCACTCTAAATAATTTGGAGCATTAAACACCAAATATTACTGCCACTCTTAATGGGCAGCATTTACTGCTACTGTACTTGTCTGGATCTTGAACAGTTTTCGATAAGAGAAGTAACTGAGAAACCATTTTACATAAAAAGAACATTGACAGACCTTCTGCTTTGCATTTGTGTTCAGCTTTCATTAAAATAGTGGAACAAATGCAGAAGCGATCATTAAATGAGTCTTTGAAAAATATTGTTTCAAATTTAATACTTGTGTGGGAAGTCAATGCTGCATCATTATTTTCGCCACAGGGAGCAGGCACAGTGTGCCAGTTTAGATGCATGCTATTGTACATTTCTAATGGTTCTCTTAACTACCTTATCACAAAAGCTAGCAGCTGAATTACAGTGAGTTTTTGAAATGGTGACTCTCATAAATGTTGGGAATGTTGAAAAAAAAGGAAATGATGCTCTGTTAAACTTGTGACTGCTAACATTTATGGTGAGATAACTAAAGGATTGTTCTATGCAAAGCATGCATATTGCATGTATGTATTTGTTTCCTTATTTTCTAAGTTATAAATCAGACTGTTAACTTCTGTATAAAGCTGTTTTTCTATTTAATTCTAGGGTAGATTATGTGGATTCCTTGGGCCGTTCTAGACGCTGTATGAAGAAAGATTTGCCACATCTGCTTCAAATGGATAAAGAGCTTCAGGGGAAGAGGTGAGGCTTGTGCTAAATTAAATAGCTGTTGTTTTCTTTCACATATGGAATGGTAGGGTACGGGTACTTGGCCAGTTGGACTCTGATGGAAAATGTTCCGTGTTCACAGAAGCGTACATCCAGCTGCTTCTTTACCCCATGTCCTAAGCCCCATGTCCTAAGCCCGGCACAGGTTCCTGAAGAATCTTGTTTCGTTTGAGCTAAGAGGACACTTGATTTTTTTTGTAGAGAACAAATTCTACATAAATACATGAAAAAGCTTCTAGGAGATGAGCAAGTTGGCAAATTTGTCTGTGCATTCTGGTCAAATCTGTGTTTGCAGCCAAGTTAGCAATATTATAATGCTTCTTGTCGAGGATCAGCTTGGAGAAATCAGGGGTGACTAATTTTTTCACCGGAAATGTACTGGGAGCCAATGTAGGTCTTTCAGGACCAGTGTCATATGGTCTCTGCAGCCACTCCCAGTCACCAGTCCAGCTGCCACATTCTGGAGTAGGTAGCCCCATGTAGAGCACATTGCAGTAGTCCAAGCGGGAGATAACCAGAGCATGCACCACTCTGGTGAGACAGTCCGCAGGCAATAAAACTGAATTTTAATGTGTCCTAATGAAACCTAGAGGAGTCTGGCATTTTCTGTTCTTGGATAAATGCATTTCAAAGCTTTTTGATCAAGTCAAGGACATAATGTTCTATTAAGTAGAACTTGATTTGTTTTTCCACTATTAAGTCTTATGATAACCGGGCAAAATGGGCATTTTAGGGAAACTAATCGCATGAGTTATTAAGTAATTGGCTCATTCATTTTTTTCCATAGCTAAGTAGGAAAAATAAAAAGATCTTGGAATGTAACTCTGTTGATCTGATGAGGGTAGCTTGCCAATTGCTTTATCTTCTTTTTATTCCGTCTTTGTTTCCCATCAAGAGAATGCCTTCTGCAGAGAAATGTGATCACTTGGCAGTGGGAGGAGCTATTTCATATATTTTAAGGAATTTTCCAGTTTTTTTCTCTTAACATTTTTTTTTTTTTAGATAACGAATGAAATGCTTTTAAAGGCAGGACTTTACAGTACCGTGTCAGCAGCACATTGCTCCCTCGAAATAGTTTCTGAAAGCTATGTAACAATTTACAGCATCGAGTAATTACAATCCCTTTATATTTGAGTACAACTCAAAGGACATGTAGAGAAATGCTTTTTGATGGCTGCTCTGCAAGTGTCTTGGCAGTTCAGCAGAATACCTACGCAGAGGTGCTCTAAGGCTCTTAGAGAGCTCCTGTTATATGGTATTGTACTTTTAGATGAGATATACTTAATTGGTTTTGGGATTGGTAGGTTTACAACCATTTCTCACTCACAAACTCTTAAGGGATGCTTCCCTTCCCCCCTTAGGCAAATGACAGAAGAGAAGACTTTGTTGTCTGAAGATATGAGAAAGGAGCTTCAGCGTCAGCAGTGGGAAAGGGAAGAAGAAGAAGCCCTAAAGAAACCTATGGGACCAATGCATTATGAGGACATTAGAGAAAATGGTGTGTATTCTAACTGTGTGTGCAGATTGCCTTGAGAAATGAGATGCGCTTCTACTTCCATTGCATAAATAGATTCAGTTCAGTATATCTTCTCGATCAAGGCCATATCCTGATTTTTTTAGCAAGGTGATCATCAGCGTGCAGAATTCACAGGATGCTATAATTAAATGTGGGGGAAGTCCCGTAAACTTATACCACATATAATAATAATACATCACACATCTTTACCTAATTAGTGATTAAAATGTTTATATACTGCTGTATCATAAAATATATCACAGCAGTTTACAACAATATATAAAAAGATAAAGTCATACAATAAAATCATTAAAAGTTTAAACTCGATCCAGAGTGATTACTGTCGGAAGAGCAGAAATTCTCTGTCCCCATCCTTCATCCGTTGAAAGTGGGGAAAATCCATTGAAAAAAGGTGGTTAAGATTGTTGTGATGTGAGTAATCTGTGTGTATTTAGAGGTGTAATAAACAGGTTACTATTCCGCTTCATTAAAAACTGACTTAAGCAAGCACTGTCTTCCTTTGCCTAGGGAGGGCTGTAGGTCAGTGGTAGAACACATGCTTTCTTTTTTCAAAAGATCCCTGCTTAATTCCCTGGCATCTCCAGGTAGGGATAGGAAAGACTCCTGTATGCAGCCCTAGAGAACTGCAGATCACTCTAGGTAAAACAGAGCTAGATGGATTCAGTACTCTTCTGTGTTCCTGTGACTAGTGTTGAATATCATCCTAAGAGGCAACTCTGTGTCCCAATATCTCTGTAGTTTAATGTAGGATGAATTCATAACACTGTACAAAAAAATCTTCCTTTCAGAGGCCAGACAGCTTGGTGTTGGTTACTTTGCCTTTGCCCGTGATCAAGCTTTGAGGAGAAAGCAAATGGAAACCTTAGAAATGCTAAGAGAGCAGGTATGAAGTTTAAGTGTTCACAATTGTGCTGGGGGAAAATATATGTTCCACTGTGGAGCTTTTCCTTGGGTATTGTATGGTTGGTGCATATGAGCAGTAACCTAAAATGTCCAGTGTCGGCCTTTTGAAAGACGTGTAGTAATCGTAGCTGAATCAAGAACTGCCAATATGTGTCCGAATTATTATTGTGACATCTGTGGGTAATGAATCTCCATGTGTGCAAATGTAGGGAGATTAAAACTTCAAATTGGGTTGCAGTTTATTCTTTAGGGTGCAGAAAATTACACAGAAGTTTCCCAAATAGATTTCTTAGTGTGACTTCGATTTAAAATACTCATTTCTTTCTAAACCCAATACCTTTAGTTGTGTGGCTGCAATGAAAAACTTGTACGTCCTACTGTTTGTTTTAAGACTGTCTCTGAAATAAGATTTGATCATACCAAGGTTTTATTATCATGCCTTAGTAATTATTTGGCCGCTTACAGAAGTGTTTGCAATATCAGAGTTTGGATTTGAAAAATATGGGGGGGGGAGAGATGGGTTGAAATAAACTACATGGCTGTTAAGCAGTGTCAGTGTGTGATTGTAAGCAGTGAATTATTGGAAATAGCAACGTAAATCACTTGCTACTGACTACATAAATCAATTGTCATTGACTGTTCTAAGACTACAGACCAGAGAGCAAAACGTGAACATTTAGCAGAGAAACGTAAGGCTGTTTTGGAAGCCAGGCTGTCCAAGCTTCGAGCGAAAAAGCGATTGAAAGAAGGTGACACAAAGGAAAATGGAGGTACTTTCTCTGTAAATTACTTTCCTTAAATGCAGAGAACAAAGGAGCCACATCTGTATTCATAAAGCTGAACTGTTAATGAGGACCTCGTTAAACGCTGATCATAAGACCAATATTTCATCTCTATTGTATTGCATTTTTTTCCCAGATGGTATTCAGAATCCATTTTCTGAGGGTTATATCTGACTAAGCAACACTCGCGAGAAGACCCATTGAAATAAATTGACTTAAGTTAGCCATGATTTCATTGGGACTTCTCAGAGTATGGCTTGCTCAGATAAAACCTTGAGTCCAATATGATGTTGCAGCTTTTGAGAAGAGTAGAGAAAGATGTTCACTTAGAGAATGCATGTTAGAGGGGGGGAAGTAGTTGGGAATCAGAGGATTGTGGGACGTACTGATACGGCTAAACTTTTTTTTTTTTTTTTCAATTAAGAGCTCATATATGCCATCTGTGCCTAGTCTCCAAACTTTCTCATTTGTCAGATATTCAGAAGCCTTTGTTAGTCTTCATTAAAATTATTAGGATTATTTCCATCTACTTCAAGGCACTTTCTGTTGCCAATGTTAATTGGCTTCTGTAGGACTGGTGAAGCCTGGCAAAAGTGAAGGTCATGATGCATGCCCAATATAGAACCAGGTGGAGAACCTTTTTGACTCCGTGGTCCAGATTTTTATCAGTATCAGCCTTGTGAGTAAAATTTGACAGGTACACAAAACTGGCCACCCATCAAAATCCCCTCTGCAGCTTTTCAAAGTGCTGTTTGAATCAGTCTCTCCCCTCCTGGTTCATGTGGTGCTTTGTTCTACTTCTCCTTTAAGTGGGCGGGCAGTAGCAGTAATGCCCCTTCGCTCCCTGCTTGAAGGAGAAAGGAAAGGGCTTTAATCTCTGCTCTTCAGCATATTAAATCCTGCTGCATGATGCTGCTTGCACCTGGGAACAGGGCAGTGGAACTTATTCAGGATTCAACACTGTCATTCTGATGGGTGGGCGTAGTTATGGGGAGAGGGCATGGCAGGCCAAGAAGGGCCCATGGACTGGAAGTTCGCCACCTGTGATATAAAACAATTGGGGTAAGTAGAAGGAACTTTTGACCCAGCAGATGCTGCTGAACTACAACTCCCTGGCCATTAGCCATGCTTGCTATGGCTGTTAGAAGCTGTAGTTCAGCAACATCTGCAGGGCCAAAAGTTATCTGAAGTCTAGGAAACAACAATGAAATATTTTCAGTCTTGATTAGTTCCCCCTCCTTTGTTATTCCAATGCAGCTTTTAAAAGATACATTGCTAAGCAACTTTTGAGCTATCTATTGAAATACTAGGGCTTTAATTTATTTTTTCTTCAATTTCTTGCTTTGTCGTGATTTTATCTACAGCAGTTTTCTTTGCAGGGTGGGGAGTGAACATCCCAGTGAGATGCTTCCCCCCCACCCCCATTAGGTAATGCTTCAGAGTGTCAACTTGTAGCATGGCAGTAGCTTGTTGAATTATCTCCTGGCTCAAAGTAACATTTGTTTTAATAATCTTTATTCTCCACGAAAACAGAAGAAGAAGTTGCTATGCCAGCAGCAGCTGAATCCAAGCCCATTGAAGTGCCAAGGGTTTCCGCAGAAAATAGAAAAGTGGAAGTGATCATTCAGGAAAGGAAAGATACAAAGCCTGGCGTGCCCTATGTCCGAGAGTGGGATAGAGGCAAAGGTAAAGACTTGAAATGTGCATCAGCTTAGCATGGTATAAAAAACCTTTGAATGGTGAGCTGCTCATACTGTGTCAGTATAATCTCTGCTTCGGTGGGCTGGTGAAGGAATTTCATGTTGTAATAGTCCTGCATGGGGGGGGGGGGGAAGAAGGCATAACATTTCCTGTGGATTCAAATCTAAGGTGTTTGGGGAGAAGGCTATGCTACCTCTGTATTCATTAGGCAAAAATGGAAAACATTTTAGCCTTACGTTCTCTCTGTTGTGCTCCTTGATTCCCTTGAGGACTTTTTAGTGAAAAATTATCACCTGAAATAAGAACTTATTTCAACCGGCGACTTTGTTCTCAAAATATTTATTCCCTACCAAAACCACTAGAGGGCACACCATGCAAGAGGAATGTTGACACATTCATAGCATTAAAATGTGTGTTTTCTTTGTTAGTTCTGCCTCTCTAGTTTATTGTGGCTATGCGACAGTGTGACCAAGATTGAGTTAATGGAAGAGTTTGATGGTTAAGCATAGTATGTAAAAAATAAAATAAAATTGAGCTTGCTCTTTTTTCACTTCTTCCCGTTAATAGAATTCACTTTTGGACTGTGGTCAAAGAAGCAGGAAGATCTCAGAAATGAACGAGACCCGGAATTTGCACCTCCCTCTGCTTATTTTATGGGTCAAAAGAGAACGCATGACTTTAGAAGCCAGAATTGGAACAAGCCTGGAACCGCATATGAAAAAACAGAAACCCTGACAAGAAACCTGCCATCCCCATCAACTGAGCCTTTCAGTAGCAGCTCACAGAGCAATCAGTTCCCCCCTACTCAGGAACATGACAGTGAACTGCAAAATCAACAGCCGGCTTACCAAACTTTAGATGACATGCTGTCATACTATAAACAAGTAACATGAGCTTTATATGTTTTGAGATTAATCAGAAAACAGTGTTTGGGATTCTCACTTTTCGTTTTGTTTTAAAGCTCAAGAGAAAAGGTGTCTTGGTAGGATAGGTATCACATGCCTTTTGTCATGTATGCATCTTACTGCAGCCCTTGTGCTACTTCTGTCACCACTAGCATTAAAGGTTTCTGCTTTTAAAGATTATTGCTATAGTATTCTGTATTCGCTGCCATTTCCACTGCTGTTTGCATCACCATAAATACGATGACTAAGATCCAAGGGCCTCCTTTAGGCACATCTAAGGCCTTGGACCTGACCAGTGGGAGTGATGATTTAAAAAAAAAAAAATGGTATGCATACCCAGAAAGAGGCCGCTATGCTATTTTGTGAACTGCTTTTGAAAATCCCCTTAGTTTTTGAAATATAGTTTATTATTTAACATGACAGGCTATTTTTTGAGAAACACAGCACATGCCTACTTTTGGCATGCAGAATTAGTTGTCCAGGCTTTTGCATCCCAGCATTAGAGTAATTTAGTGCCAACTTGTAGGGTATAGTAAACAGCATTCCATGAAAGGTGTTTTAAATTATAAACCATGTCCACCCCATGGCAGCTGGCATTTCTTCACATCCCAAGCAAAATAGTGCGTTGAATGGAAGCCTCTTAAGATTAGTATGGTGCTGGTTCTGCTATCCCATTAATCATTGGATTTCTGACAGTGCTGACAAAGCAAGCAGTTCATGTGGGTGAATGTTACCAGAAGCTGCTATTTTAATATAATGGAAAGATTCAGCGGGGTTTTTTCTACCCATCTCCCTAACCCGAACAGTTGTTTTGTGTTACTTAAATATTTAAAGCTGTCCCTTTCACTGATGCAGAGTGATTAGGATGACAACTGGCAGCAAAATAAAACTGGATGTGTTTTCCAATTCTCCAGTGTCTATTTTAGTTTGAGCTATAAAGTTGATGAAGGATCTGGGGGGCTCATAGCTTTGCAATTGCTTTAAAAAATAAGGCAACACTCGTGTAGTCCCTTTCCTGATTTACTTATCTCAGTGATGTAAACAGGAACAACAGTGTTGCATTGGATGGAGCCAACAAGCGGGGTGGGTGGGTGCAAATGTGTGTGTGTGTTGGTGGAAGGGAACAGCAATTCCATGTGTCTCAAGATCACATTTCTCTTCAAGAAGTAAGCCCAATGAACGGTGGCAACTTCTATCCTCCAAAGCATTCCTGAGACTTAACAAAGCTACAGCCCACTAGATGGCAACAGACCACTAAAATATTGACAAGCTATGCGCAAGGGTCAGACAACTGTTTTATGTACCCAAAAGTTTTAATCAACTGTTGATTTCTAGTACTTAAGAGGAGCTTTAATAATTTGAAGGGGTGTTAGAAAAACATAGACCAATCTAAAGACAAATCTCTTTAGAAACCCTGGAATATCTGGGTTGACTCCAGCAGCTGGCACCCTGTGGTTTATAGCATTTCTAATGGTTTGCAGACTTCAGTTTCTAGCATAGTTGTATGTGGGGTGCTGCTCAGTTATGTCTACACAGGCTTGCTGCTCTCTCTAGGGTTTTAGGCAGAAGCCCTTCCCAGCCAGCATGAAGATGGCAAGCACAAGATGTAGGATTTTTTTCATGCATATCATCACATGCTCTGCCACTGAGCTCTGGCCCTTCCCCATCTCATGATGCTTCTCATTTTCACTTCTGACATTTTCAATATAAAAGCACTTCAGCCAACAGCACTGTGGAAGGTAAGAGCAGTTGGCCTTTTAAAGTGTTGCTGCCTGACCGGTCATGGCAGCAGGCAGCAGCCAATGCCTGGCCTGCCAGCAAGGCACTGCACATCAGGTGGAGCCTCTGATTGGCCCGTTTGAAGCTGGCGTTCAGTCAGGAAGTCCCGCCCTGAGATCACGCCAGCCGGTGGAATTCTCAAATGGCCAGCAACCATGTGAGAACTGTCTGACAGAATGGCAACAGAGCAAGAGGCTGTAACCACCACCCACCTGGAAAGGGTGAGTGTCCATTGTGTTCTAGAAACAACAAATTGAGCTTCTGCAGCTCATTCTTGCCCAGAGTGGCTTTGCGTAAGTGGCCTGAACCTCACTGTGAGAATCTACATAACAGTGCTCTCTCCTATTATGATGCAAGAATGGGTATGTCATATGGAATGTGCAGCATCACCAACAACTTTCAACTGTGCTGCTGTGACTCTTGGAACATCTGCGGCTAACAGTAGGTAATCCAAAGCATTTCACTGAAAGCATTGAAGTTCATTGTTTATCTATCTATCTATCTATCTATCTATCTATCTATCTATCTCACACGCATTCCAAACCATCTAGGGCCCATCAGAATAAGACCTGAGAGACCAGGGTTCAAATCCCCACTCAGCCGCAAAGCTCACCTTGGGCCAATCGCTGTCTCTCAGCCTAGCCTGCCTCACAGGGTTGCTGTGTGGATAAAATGGGGGAGAAGGAGAACTATATACGCCACTTTGACCTCCTTTGGAGGAAGGGTGGGATACAAATGCATTTTAAAAATAAAATAAAAATTATGCTGGCTTCCTGCATGCTTATCCCTAGTCAGAAGTAGAACTGACCATGTGGTTCTTCCCAGTCTAACTGTAGAGACTGGGCAGACGGCGCACTCTTCAAAATGCAGTAATTGTGCTTATCAGGTATGGAGGAGGGGCAATATTTTGTGTGTTTTTTAAAGGACAATAGCATTTATTAGCTTGTTTACAACATTTCCATCCCACACCTTCACCATAAATTTATGATCCCTGGGTTGACACAGCAATTGTCCAATCAGAGATGGTAAATTAGGGCTGTTGGGGGGGGGGGAAGAGAAAGCAGGGAGACCAACAGTAGATGGAGCCTGAGCCACTCACAAGGATAGCTAGCTAATTCCAGTTTTGGCTGCTGCCATCTCCCTCTTGAGTTCTACAACAGCAACACTGAGGCTAAGTAGGAAGAAGATGACAGTGACACCACCTGGACTCATTAGTAGGAAAGCAGGTGGGGTCGGGCTAAGGGCAGATGGAGGTTGGGACAGCAACCCATTCCCCTAATGGACCAGCCTCCCCTGTTTTTGCCTGGTGTCTGAATGGTAGAAGTGAGGGTACCAGGTGGGCCTCCCTAGAGAGTGCATTCCAATGGTGAAGACCCACCACTGAGAAGACTTTCTTCATGCTGACCAGGGATGATGAGAGTTGTATAAGAAGCAGAGTAGATAAATAACTACACAACTTTTAGAAGACACCTGTAAAGGGAAGTTTTTAATGTTTGATGTTTTATTCTGATTTTATATCAGTTGGAAGCTGCCCAAAGTGGCTGGGGCAACGCAGTCGGATGGGCGGGGTACAAATAATAAAATTATTATGGTTGTAGTCCACAGCATCTGGAGGGAACCATGTTGTCTTCTCGTGGTTCAGGTGGGTGGACTGGACAGCCCGTCTAATATGTTGGTTGCTTCTTTCCATCTGAGATCGCAAAGCAAGCCCTAAATGAGTGCAAAGAAGTCTCTACTGAGCTGGCTTGTGTGAGAAGGAGGCTGAACTTAATTAGCCATTCCTCTGCAGAGGGTATTAGCCTCTAGCTAGCCGTAGAAACCTCAACTTCCATAAAACTTAGACTGACAGTTTATTAGTTCCAGCTGAAAGTTTACTTTGTAATTAAGAAAGTGCTTCAGATGCATTTTCTAATTAAATCAAGGGTAATTTATCTGTCACACTTGAAATGCCTGGGACTATTTTTGGACTTCTCATTGGTGAACATAGGGGCAATAAAAACAAGCATGGCTGCCTGCTTATGCTGGGAAGTTTTAATGTCTCTTGAATTCCATGTTTTAATTCTCATAGCCTTTTCAATTATACATGATAACTCAGTTCATTTTTTGTCCTTCAAGCCTACTGTGCCAGCTTCTGTCTTTAGGCCACTGCAGTCAGTTTCTTTTAAGATGTATTTCTAAGAGTACCAGAACAAAGTGGTTCTAAGTGTGGCTTGACTGAATTGGACCCACAGTTTATACATATCTCTAGATTAAATTTTAAGAAAGCAGAAGAGATGCACATCCTGTTCTCCTTCGTTACAGCTGGTTCATTTCATGTCACAGTCTTCAAGCTGTAACCTGGAGCTGAGCTTTAATATACCTGTTGACTGCTGAAGAAAGAGCTAAGTGAAACAGAAAAGGTTGTGTGTGCTTAATCTACTGGTTAATCTCTCGGTTGCACCAAAAAGCGTATGACTGGTATGAGGGCTGTAGATGGAACCAAACGACCAAAGCCTGTGAATTGTTTTCACCATGCACAGAATCATAGACTCTTAAGGGACCATGTGGATCATTTTAGTCCAACCCCCTGCAATGCAGCTATCTATTGCCAAACATGGGGTTTGAACCCAGGACCCTGAGATTAAGAGTCTCATGCTCTACCATCTGAGCTATCACAGCAGGCTTTCTTTAAGCATGAGGCATTTGTGCTTGGAACCTTCTAAAGCAGCATTCCTACCTCCATATGGTGGAAGCCTTGCTGCAGATGGGTAGCTTGACTCTAGGTAAAAGGTAAAGGGACCCCTGACCATTAGGTCCAGTCGCGGACGACTCTGGGGTTGCGGTGCTCATCTTGCTTTATTGGCCAAGGGAGCTGGCGTACAGCTCATGTGGCCAGCATGACTAAGCTGCTTCTGGTGAACCAGAGCAGCGCATGGAAACGCCGTTTACCTTCCCGCCGGAGCGGTACCTATTTATCTACATGCACTTTGACATGCTTTCGAACCGCTAGGTTGGCAGGAGCAGGGACTGAGCAACAGGAGCTCACCCCGTCGCGGGGATTCGAACCGCCGACCTTCTGATCGGCAAGTCCTAGGCTCTGTGGTTTAACCCACAGCGCCATCCACGTCCCAGCTTGACTCTAGGAGAGATGGCCAAATTTGAGCTCCCACCCCCCTCACACACACATTTTATCTAGCTGTTTCTTATACGTGTGCTTCCTGCTCATCCTCCAAGGAACTCAGAGTGGTGAATATGGTGATTCAAAAGCCTTGGGGGAAAAGGCATTTTCTAGAAATGAGTCCGCAGTATTGACAAATAACCTGGTTGGGCTGGGGATAGTTGCATAGTCTTCCCAGGGTCAAAAAGCAAATGATTCGGAAAGGCTTCCACTTTGTAAGAGTCCTGTAAAGATTACAGTCTAGGTTGGTTTGACGCAAGCTAAATAAAATCTCAAATAACAGACACCCCTAATCAAAACATTTATATTTGTTTATCTGTCTAGAATGCACTTCTCTTTGTCAATCAACATACTTTCCTCCTCTAGCAAACCATTTCTTGATGATCCAAATCTAGTTTATGCCCTTTCTGTCACCTGAATCTTCCCTGTCCTGTCCCTAATATCCATTTGGCAAACCCTAACCTCTTCTTGTCCACCACATTTTTTTGTTTAGCTATTGTAGAGTACAGGTCCTCTGGAAAAGGACCAAGCTCCATGTGGGTCCCAGGGTGTGCTCTGAAAGATGCAGAAATCTTGTGGAAGCAAATCTGGCTGATGTGAATAGAATACCATCTGGGAACGCTAGGCATGCTTCCCTGAGCTCTCTGGGAGGAAGGTGGGATATAAATGAAATAAATATGAGTGAAGTAGTGTTAGTGCTAGCTGTAGAAGGCATTCATAACACAATAACACATTCTTCTCCACCACATTTTTTTAAAGATCTCCTCACATCAACTCTAGCCCATGGAATAGGTGAAGTGGTGATATGAATGACCCAAAACCAGACACAAAGACTGACCAAAGAGGCGACTCAAAGGGTAGCTCCAAAGGAGACCAAAAGACTGATCACAAGGGTGACCAAAAGGCTGACCAGAAGCCCAGCCCAAGGGCCTCCCCAGTGAAAAGTGTAGACTATGCACAAATCAAAGCCAAGGCACCAAGAGTTCTGGCAGACATGGTACAAATGCTTATCCTTTGGCGGAAAATGGGCTTCCATGTGCCACGAGGGGTCAAGAATATCTTTGAGTTTACATGGGATGAGCTCCTGGTGACACCACCGAGAAAATCATTTGCTGGTTTATATTGTCCTGTGGTCAAGTTTGCTTCCACGGAGGACGCTGATATTTCCTCCACTCCTACTTCAAGAGCTCAGAAGGTGGGTCCAACACCCTCAAGGTTAAAAGCGAATTATGTGACCCCTTCATCTGAAGACCAACAGATGCTTCTCAAATTCCAAAAACGGTCTGTCCATCTCCTCACTGAACTCTTGAAGATGAAGATGAAACTAATGATTGAAGCAGCTGCTGGTGAGATCATCTAAACTAAGTGTTCCTGCCAGCTTCGATTTACACATAGAATTTAGTAATCTCTTTGGAAATCCTGAACCTTATCAGACAAGTAGGCACCATCCTCCAGGATGAAACTGAGTGTTGTGGAAGGCAGCACATATCTGTCATGTGCTTACCAGTACATGCTATGGTCCCTGCAGTTGGAAACACCAAAAACCAGGGTTCCTGGTGATGTGGATTATTGCCTTCTCATGTACCCTTGTGTGAATGTAGGCACATTGCAAATATCTGATTGAACATGTGTGTTGCATGGGCAGACCCTGTCACCTTTTGTCTTATATTTGAGTGTACAGGATGAAATCTGTAAGATCTGAGTTGGGCTGAGCTAGCACTCAGAGGCTGAGTTAGCATTCATGAATTATATGCAATTTTTTGACATGGGACTGTAAAGAGGCCAGATTTGTTTGGGCTAGTGCTTTCATTCTTGCTTTGAGGTTCTAGGTTCAATCTCTGGCTTCTCCCACTAATAATAACAAGTGCTTGGTAATAATAACAGAAACCTTGGGAAACTGCTTCCAATTAAACAACACCAAGGTAGTGGGACCAATGGTTTCACTCAGCAGCATTTTTTATCTGCAGTTAATCACACTGGTTAATGGGAAATTACATTCCGCTGCCGCTATGAACACACACTTTTCTTATTTTATGCATGGTAGCTGCTTTAATATCTATGTCTATCTAAATGTACACCCCAATTGTTCAAATATTACCTTTAATTTCTAACCATCATGTCTCCTTCCCAGGCCCCAGTGTTGAGGAGATTGCAAGGAGGTTTTTGGAAGGTGGCCAAAATCTGATCCCGAAAACACGTGAAGATGCAGCTGAATTCACACCCAAAGAACCTAGGAGGAGAGGTTGGGGAAGAAACAGTGTTGTCAGGTGTTTGGACCCTGTGATAGCACCACTCCATTAACTGTTTATACTCTAGTCTCCTTTGCAGCTGGAAATGCTTTTGTTCCCAGGAGTTTTGCATGTGCCAAGAAGATGGGCCAACGAGTGGGTATGGTAGCAAGAACACTTGGGCTGAGGCCTTGGTGTATTCATGCACCAGAACAAGATGTGAATGAGGTGGCAGAGTCCAGGCCAGCATATTTTATTCTTACGTTATTTTATTCTTATTTATTACTGTATTTTTTGCTCCATAACACTCACTTTTTTTCTCCTAGAAAGTAAGGGGAAATGTCTGTGCGTGTTATGGAGCGAATGCCTACGGATGGTGGGGGGACCTGCTGCAGTCGTGAGCAGAGGATCCATGGTTCCCCTTCCTTCCCTCCTCCATGGCTCACTTTGAAACAGCAAAGTGGGAGAAGAGCCACTGAGTGGGGAGGAGAGAGGGACAGAGAGCCTGCTTGCTTTAAAGGAGCAAAGAGGGAGAGGAGAGGAGCCGCTTACACGTGTAAGCGGCTCCTGTCCGGTTGGCTCCTTTAAAGCAAGCAGGCTCTCTGTCCCTTTCTCCTCCCCACTCAGCTGGCTAAATAGCAGCAAAGTTTTTCAGTGAGCCGGGGAGGAGGGAGAGAAGCAGAGCCTGCTTGCTTCTCCTCTTATACCCCTCTTCTGCATTATTAACAGCATCCTTCTCCACCCACCCCACGCGTGTTCCTTGTCCCTTGAGTGCTTTTCCTTCCCTCCCCACTTAAAACGTGGTTACAAAGCACGGATCCACATGGATCCTCAGGATTTTTGCACTGGGTCACCCCAAATTCACCATCAGATCACATAGCATGTCCATGGCTACAGCTTGCACCCAAAAAATCACGCACCCACTGTTGCCTGGGGCCGCAGTGGTGCAAAAACGTGGTTACAAAGCATGGATCCACATGGATCCTCAGGATTTTTCCATTGGGCTACCTCAAACTCACCGTCAGATCACATGTCTGTGGCCACAGCATGAACCACAAAAATCATACATCCACTGTTTCGTTTAGAATATTTTTTTTCTTGTTTTCCTCCTCTAAAATCTATGTGCGTGTTATGGTTGGGTGCGTGTTATAGAGCGAAAAATACGGTAATTTATATATATACTACTTACATGCCAAAATGGCTTCCTAAGCAGCCTACAAGAACAAAATCAATTATAAAATATCCACTCACAATTGAAATGCGTGATAGAACAATTCCACGATCTAACTGGATTGTTAAACCACTCTGAGAATTGTAGCTCTGTGAGGAGAATGAGGATCTCCTAATAACTTTCTGCACCCTTAACAGTTTTATTTTGCAGTGTGTGAAGATGTACTTTGTTTTGTGTGAGTTGAATCTTCCAACATTCAGCTTTACTGAACGCTCCTGAGTTCGTATGTTAGGAGAGGGAGAAGAACCTTTCTCTTTCCATTTTCTGTACATACATAATTTCTATCATGTCTCTGCTCTGAACTAAAAAGCCCCAAACATTGTAAGCTTTTCTCCTGAAGCAGCTGCTCCATCAGGCTGCCCATTTTGGTTGCCATTTCAGGTTTTCTTCACAGATGTGGTACCTCTGAGGTATTTTACTTCCTGCTCTCCAGAGTGTTTTCATTTTTAAAACAATCTGAAATTGAAAGGAATTCTTAACTCATCAGTTTGTGTTTTATTGCCGCAGGACGTGGTATGGCACCAATACTTCCAGCGATTCCTATTTCTTCCACCACCCAGCTTATACAGCAAATGTCAATGAACTGTCTTTGCTTTCAGTTGTCTATGAAAGACACCAAGCAGCAAAAGAGCACAGGTAGATACAATTTCTAGAAAATCAGAGAATACTAAATGCTCCGTAGGGCAGAGTTTCCACAGATGCTATGGGAGCCCATGTTGCAATGCTGTTGCTGTGTTAGCCCTTGTAGATACTGGTAGCATTTTGCATTTGACTTTACTGCTGGAGGAGCACAGGATCATGACTATAATATGCCAACATAACCATGGTGTAGCAGTCATTAGTGTAACTGGGCTATTGAGCTGGTACAGTAGGGCTATCCACTTGGCTATTTACCTATAAACAAACAGAGAGGTTGTGTGTGTGTGTGTGTGTGTGTGTGTGAGAGAGAGAGAGAGAGAGAGAGAGAGAGAGATTTACTGGTGAGTGCAAAGAATTTAATAATGAATTTTGACTTCCAGTTTTGATAAAGTGATGTGAAGTATAATGTACAAAAGGCTATTTGCAACTTACAAAAACACCATGTGGAAATGTCAAAAGTATCCAGTAGGCTGTACTGAATAAAATTTAATATTTGACGGATTTACAGGAAGACTTTAGGAGAGCTCTTTCCATATATATATATATATATATATATATATATATATATATATATGTTTGTTTTCCAGGTAAAGCTTATGATGAGAGACTTGACCCATGTCCTGAAGCTAGGGAGTTGCTCCGAGAAATTTGCCGGACTATGTAAGCATCTTCAAATGTTTAGGATACAACACACCTTTATAGGGTAATCTCATGGGTTATTTTAATAGGTCGAAAGCTCAGCGCGCAACCCCACATCTGCGGTGGGATGATATGTAGACAGATGTTTTATATAGAGTCCATCTAGGCGTCTATTTGGTTCTCTGGTTGGCAGTAGCTCTCCAGAGTCTCAGGAACTGGCCTTTCCTTACCCTGCACCATGAGAGACTTACTTGAAGAGGACAGGGATTGATCAGTGGGTTTTATACATACAAAAATGGGGATTTTCACCGGTAGCCAACAATGTTTTTAGACCCACCACAGCCCAACTGTAGCTCAAACCTAACTCAAACTTAGCTCAAAACATTTCGGCCATTACTGACTCTGGAATGAATGGTCTTAGGGCTACCTCATCTTTAGATGGAAATGTGTATTACTCAGTTAGGCCCCATCCACACCACTAGTTACCAAGTGCAGTAATGCATCTGAATACCAGTTGCTGGACAGCACAGAAGGCGAGAGTGCATTTGTGCTGGGTTCCTACTTGAGGGTTTCCCACAGCCATCTGGTTGGCCACTATGAGAACAGTATCCTGGACTAGATGGGCCCGTGGCCTGATCTAGCAGGTGGTTCTTATGTTCACTTGCATTCCACTTAAACAGTCACAGGCCTCATGCCTTCCCTCAAAGGATATTGGGAAGTGTAGTTTGTTAAGGGTGCCCAGAGCTGTTAGGAGACCCGTTTCCCTCACAGAGCTACAGTTCCCAGAGTTCACTCATAAAAGTCTTTGGCTGTTAAACCCTTCTGGGAATTGTAGCTCTGTGAGGGGAACAGGGTCTCCTAACCACCTTCAGCACCCTTAACAAACTACATTTTCCAGGATTCTTTGTGGGGAGTCATGAGTGATAAAGTGGTATGATAGTGCTTTAAATGTATTGTGTGGATGTTGCCTTTTCTTGAAAATGTAGCCAGCCAGCCCTGCTGTGTTGGGGCCCCCTCCTGCTCATTCCTTTCAGACTCCCTCTCCCAAGTGGCACTTATGTATGTGTGAATTAATTCTAAGTTTCAGCCCCTTTCGTTTATTTTACTCTGTAAAGTTGCTGGCAGCCCGAACATGAGAGCTATTGAAAAAAATTATCCTGAGAATGACATCAATTTGTTTTTGTTTTATTATGTATTTTGTGATTTCATTTTGTATTTTTATCCCCCCCCCCTCGCCCCGTGATCTTTGGATGAAAGGTGGTAAACTAACTAACTAACTAACTAACTAAAAAAACCTACTGAAGTTCCAACTCTGCTGACACACAGGTGTCTAATAAGAGACACTGCTGTTGTTTCTGTTCCTTTTAGAGCGGAAGAGAGGAATGCAGCCATAACAAAAGGCCATACGAGGCCCCTAATCCTGAGAAATTACATGACAATCCACAGATCACCATCTCAGGCCTTGAAAAGGGCTTCAGTGTCCCTAATAGCTACCGAGGTCCGTCGTATGAAAGGGAAGAAGTTCTTCTTTTCCTTTCCTGATGGAACATCCCTGATGTTGTATCCTTAGGAATGTATGGGGAACGAGTTTGGGAAATAGGATTGGTGGTTGTTCTTTTCCATCCCTACTGTACAGGGATTAGGCTTCTTCTGAGTGCAGCTACAAAATTCAGTGTGGCTTCTTGATTAGCAGTTTTTTCAGACTTTTAATGGGTCTAGACTGTTCAGTTTATCTCTGTAAGCCAAACCTCCTGTGCTGGAGTGGAATATTTACAGGTCAGCTGATTGTGGGGCTTGCTGCAAAGAACTGCACCGGGCGTGATGCACTGGGCTTTGCAAGGGCCACTGACCAGCTGATCAGCGGTGCTTGCTTTGGCACATTACATCTTAACCTGCTCCACACATGACACCACTGTTTTTGACATCAGGCACAGGGTAGGTGGACATGGCTTGGCCTCGCAGGACAAATGGGGCAGGGCTTCCTTCAAAGAGTGATGGGGGAAGCCAGTGGAGGCTGCTTCATTAGGTCCAGTGAGGCGGTGCCCCACCAACCTGAGTCTGCCCTTGTTTGCTTGCCTTGTTACAATCAATGAGTCAGGAGCGGCTCTGCCTGTCATTGTCTCTAGTGCCACCTGCTGTTGGTCTCCTTGCCTTCTACCCTACCAGCACCAATAGGCACCAGGCACCACTTGGGGGGGAACCCAGAGTAGATTTGGCGGTGGGGGCTGCACAAAGGGGGAGGGAAGAGGGGATTTCATTGCACTTGTGGATGTAAGGATGCAAATGAGTGAATGGAAGAAAAGATGCAGCAAAGTGTGCCCATTCCAGTTCTGAAATTAATTTGAGATTCCTAATGAAGTTGGCATCTGAGAGCTGTAGAATTTAGGACAGAGCAAACCCACAGAATGAGAAACTATCAGAAATCCCCTCATCCCTGTTGTGTGAGGGCTTGCAGAGGACACGGACTCACTTTCTGTGGGATGTCACTTTACCGTACCCCAAATCTGAGGGCAGGAAAAGAGGTCAGAGGAGAGAGCCTTAATGAGATCTACAGCCACACTCCAAGAATCTCTCCCCCCCCCCAAATGCCAGCCAAATAATGGCTGCACTGTAGCCTTCTAAGATCAGTAGCTAAGGGAGCAATGGCACAAAAAATCAAGGGGGTGATGTAATTCAAGTACTGGTAGCTTAGCTGGTGCTGCTGAAGCCTCTCTGCTTGCATTGCAAGAGCATAGAGCTAAGCTATTTCAAATCCTTTGCACTCTTGCTTTCTCTTCTCTCCTTCCCTCCCCAAACTTCCTTGACAGCCCCTTGGCTGCAGTTCATTTGGAGTTGTTTCACAGAAGCACATGCTCCATTTGATCTTTCCACCAAACTGGGAATTAAGAATGAAAGACTCTGACAGTGCAGGCTTTCAGATCAGTTCTGTAGTTCAATTGACTCCATTTGTCAGTCTCCGTTTTCTAACACAGTGCGTTAAACACAAAAGCCTCATTTTGAGACCTTTACATACCCCCTTTTTTCTAGCCGATCACTTTGGCTAATAGATTCTTTTCCTTGCTGCGGTGCTTATGAACATGTCGGGGAAATAACTCCTCTGAGGCAGATTGCTTCACAGACAGAGGCACCTTATGCTCCATCAGACACTCAGAAGCCTTGAATAAAACTTCACTACTGGCAGTTTGGCAACGATCTGCGTATGAAAATGATACAAGAAGGCAAAAAGCCCTAGAATGATGAGGACAATGATTTCAGATATAGAGTACGCACTTGCTAATCTCCCTTCATGGGGAAAGCTAGTGCATCAGAGGAGGCTAATTAATTGTGTTAGTTTTGCACTTGCAGGGACTTTAAAGTGATTCCTCCCCGCCCGCCCCGTGCCCTCCCCCCCCCCACTACCAGGCCATGGGCAAAAGTCTAGGGTGAATCAGTTGCAGGAAACAAGGAGCTGGTTAGAGGAGGAAGCCAGTAGTCAGGACGCAAGAGTAAATCAGAACCATAGACCTTATAATTCAGAGATATGCCCAGTGTGGTTTTTTTTCTAGGAGTGCTCAAGGGCACGTAGTACTATCCCCCCCCTCCAACATTAAAAGTGTGCAGTTACTGTAACAACTTCATGGTGAGTGCCAACACCTTATTTATTTTTTATTTTATTTTATTTTATTTTATTTTATTTTATTTTATTTTATTTTATTTTATTTTAAAAGCACTGGATATGACCTTAGTATTAAGAAGCTGGTACTTTGAGGACTTGCCTTAAGGCAGTTCCTACAGTTTGTTGCTCAAGTTCGTCTTAGTTGTAACACTGAAAACAGCCCTCATCAAAGATCCAGCTGAGTGAACTTGTAATAATACAAGTTCCCACAACGGATAACTAGATAAATGCATTTCTTTTCTTTTTCTTTCTAAAAAAGTGTGATATTACTTGACCCATGTCAAAGTTACCCATCAGGAAGTGTTGCCGTCTACCAGTTTCCCATATGCTGTGTAGGAAAAACCATCACCCTTCTGTTTCAGGATGCTCCTAGTCAAACGCTTCTAGGTACAATTACGTCTCAGGGCCATTCGTGGATACGCTATTGCTTTAAGGCCAGGTGAGTGTCACTTATTGGTCAGGGGTTGGTGCGGGAAAAAGTGCAACAGCTGAGTACCCAGTGGATTCTGGGTACTGATGTTAGATGGGCCATTGGCCTGATCCAGTAGGACTCTCCTTATTTCCAAATGTCTAAACAAGAAGGGAGCAGCACCTTCAAAACAGTGGTGAAAGCATACTGAGAGATTACTTTTTTAAAAAACCAACAACCCACATTGAATTATACTGACCTTGGCTCAGTTGTTCACAACTGGCACTGGCATTGCTTCTGCTTACCTAGAAAAGTCTTGAGGCTGTGCAGGTGAATGGGTGGGGCTGACACTGCTGATCTGGCACTCTCACTGGTGCACATGCATGCCCCGACGTCACTACTGCTCCACCACATGGGCATCACTGCTTAGGCCAAAAAGGATGGGCACCACCAGAAAGGTCGCAAATGTGCATATAATTTACACATTTATAGATGTGAATTTAGAACTCTTTACTATAATTTACTATAATCAGTCCTCCAGACATTGTTGGACTCCAGCGCTAACTGGCTCCAGTCTCCATGGCCAATGATCAGGGATGGTGGAGGTTGTAGTATAACAACATCTGGAGGTGCACATGTTAGCCACAATCCATCTCACCATAGTGGGCGAGGCTGTGGCCAGCTCACCTGGGTGCCTGCTCAGACTGCTATTCAGGGGCTCACTGCTGATGGGTAGTTTCAAGGCTGCTGCTCTCCCTTCTTATGGCTTGCTTTTCTTTAAACTGGACTTGAACCAAACGGCCCAAACAGAAGACTACTTTTAGTTGAGGACCGTCATCCTGTGAAAGCCCTTCAAAGAGAGGACTGTCCTCTGTAAAGTAGCACACATGGGTACCGTAATCCTGACCCAAGCCATGCTCATCTAGAGCAAGCTGTTTATATTGATAGCTTTACCTGCACATGTCTCATAGGCTCAGAACATTCACCTCTGCTGACTGGGTGGTGGTAGTAACTTCAGGATTATAAAGATATTAATGAGTGCTTATAGAAATGCCTTCATTTCCTGGACCTCTTAGGTATCATGTGAGAGAGGCATTATCTCAATTTTACAGATGAATAAACAAGAAACACAGCGAAAGCTCAAGGTCACATAACTAGCCAGTGACATGGATGGAAAAGCCAAGGGCCATAACCCCAATTAAATCAAATGTGCCTTATCGTTCATGGTAGACTTTTAAAACCAAGTAGTGTAGATCTGTTACTGGTCATTTATTGTCATGATTTGCATCCATCATTCCTTTTATATGGGAGGATTAATTAATTATCTCACTTCTCAGTCTTTAAAGCGTGTGATATAGGAAGCTGCTAATGGCAGATGTTAAAAGCATAACCCCACTGGGTGTAACTAATGGTTACGCTACATGGCACTGCTCAGGGAGAAAAAGGTCATTGGAGTGATGAGGATTTGGAAAGGGGATTGGAGGGGGGGACTAACATATTTCTGCAGCCAGACAGGGGCAGGCCAGAAACAGTTACACGTATTTCCTGGGGAGTAAAGAGCAACCAGAACAAAAGCACAGCAGCTATAGAGAGATCTGAGGAAACTGAGAGGCCAGGGTTAAAGAGGCCATGGCTGGAGGCAGCAATGCATTTGAATACCAGTTGCTGAAAACCACAGGAGGGGAGAGTGTTCTGGTGCTTGGGTGCTGCTTGAGGATTTCGCACAGGCCTCTGGGAGGCCTCTGGGAGAGCAGGGTGCTGGACTAGATAGGCTAACTAGTCTGATCTGGCAGGCTCTTTTGTCCATAGGAAAGTAGGGACCCCTAAAAAGGGGGGGACTGACTGGTGTGCCTGTGGGAATGAGGAAAAGGATCATTTGACTGACCACCTGACTTATCATCAGGAGAAGAAATCATGCAATGATGTAAATGCATGCAACTAGTCAGTTTTAATAATTTCTGAAAGCTTGCAAGGATTTAGGTTCCACACCAGAGAAAAGTAGTGGCCCAGCTGGCTGGTAGTTAGAAAAAAGACAAATGTGAGAGTTGAGAGTTGGCAGTGATGTGACTTAGAAGTAAAGCAGCAAGCTTTTGTTTGAATCTAAAGCTCTGGCTATGGGAGAAACAAGACCCTTGAGGGTGTTGATGCTGTGAACCCCTCCATCACAGGCTCAGGGTATATGTGTGTGTAAATAAACCCTCTATCATAAAGGTACCACAGTCTCCACTGTGCCTCATTCCCAAAGAAACATGAACCCTGGGTAAGTGCCTGGAACCTCTGGAATCTCACACCGCTTGGAGACTGGGGAGGTGTGCAACAGTATTATAACATCTATTGTGGGCTATGAATATCATGGTTCAATCACATCAGTTCAGGATATTAAAAAATTGGGCCACTGAGTTCCTTGTTATGAATTTCCCAATATTACTGCAATCGCTACAGTCAGAATCTTTATTATGTATGTATTCCCGTCAACTTCTCCCTTAGTATTAAATTGCATAGTTTAACTGTTTTTCTCTCACCCAGCTGTTCAATAGCACTGATGATGAATAATGAAGGAGGGAGCATTAGAGACAAGGATGGCTATTTAACCCAGCACTGGAGCTGGTATTCCAAAAACCAGATTCTGCAGTCGTTAGACTATCAGGTATCAAATGAAACTCTCAGACCAAATAATCCACTAACACCTCACATTTTTGGAATAGCTGTCTCTGTGGCTGGTCTCTCTAGAATTCTACAAAGATCTCTAAAAGTCTGCTCTTCTAGCTGAAAGAAATTCTAGGCAGAAATTCCAGATTATGCTTTGTTCCTGCTGGTTTCCAGAGGCACATTTTAAAAATCCCAGAACTGCCAGCAGGCACTGGGCTAGTTGCCACAAACTCACTTGTGTGAGGGTTCCCAGAGACGAGATCACAGCTGCTGAACTTCTCCCTTGGTCCTCCCTCTGCTGTGCTGCTGGGGGCTAATACATGGTTTGGCTTAGCATGTCATCTCAACCCTGGTTTGTGGTTTGTCTTGCTCCAGATAAATCATGAGCTGTAATCAAGATTTGTTTGTGAGTTGTCTGGATGAGAATCCATGAGGTTAGGTTTGGATAACACATTTAGCCAGGCCATGGCTTAGCTCATGGTGTGTTGGGTGCACTCACACGACTAATGTCATCTAGCTTGGAACTCAAATGCCCCATTTGTCCAAGACTTGAGTTTGCTGTGGACATAAAGTACTATAATGAACTCCCCATCAGAATCACAGTAATGTGAATCACAGGAAAATGAAGCCTAAACAATGTGGAGCCTGCACCCCAAATTTGGGCAACATTTCCCCACAAATTCACTGCTAGTTGAGGGAACTTTTAGATGTGGGAAAGAAGGCTTTTACACTTTGCATTGCACCCAACTAAATTATACTCAGGTAAGACTAATTGAAATGAAGTCCGTCATGTCCACTAACGGGACTGCTCTGAGTAGGACTGACCCTGGATACAATCCTGTAAGCATGATGACAGTAGCAAATGTCAATTGTGTGAATCAGCCCCTAAGACTTTCATTATCTTCTTTTATTCCTTAGATAAATGAACAGCTAAAACTCAAGGTTCTTAATCAAAATTCAATGACAATTACTTTCACCGAACAAAGTGAAAGCATCACCTTGTCTTTGGTAAGAGAGGGATGCACACATAGATCCAAATCTGATAGACAGGTAAGAAGTCACAGCATGGAAACAACATTATGCAAGTAACAATTGGATATCCAGTAACTGCGTGTCCATTGACTTTTTCATAACCCTGAGGGAAATTTCTAGAAGTAACGTTTGAAAACTTGTCTTAGGTCTAATTTTCTCTAATACAGCAATCCCTCTTCTGTTATCTCTCTTTTTGGGATACAAAAGTCTTACCTCCGTACACTGTAGATTGTGATAGACTCTATCTATCTATCTATCTATCTAGCTAGCTAGCTAGCTAGCTAGCTATCAGATCATTCCTCAATGTAAGTTCCTAAGGCAGCTAACATACAAATCACATAGAATCATAGAATCATAGAATCATAGAGTTGGAAGAGACCACAAGGGCCATCGAGTCCAACCCCCTGCCAAGCAGGAAACACCACCAGAGCACTCCTGACATATGGTTGTCAAGCCTCTGCTTAAAGACCTCCAAAGAAGGAGACTCCACCACACTCCTTGGCAGCAAATTCCACTGTCGAACAGCTCTTACTGTCAGGAAGTTCTTCCTAATGTTTAGGTGGAATCTTCTTTCTTGTAGTTTGGATCCATTGCTCCGTGTCCACTTCTCTGGAGCAGCAGAAAACAACCTTTCTCCCTCCTCTATGTGACATCCTTTTATATATTTGAACATGGCGAGACTTCCAGGGTGGCGCCATCGGCAATGGCGGACTCCCTCTGAACTGGAGGGACTAGCTCTGCGTGAAACGGGTCTTTTCCGCTACGGCGAAGCGGGGACCCTGCTAAAAATCACAGGCGGATGAAGCCTGTGACCATGGGACTCGGCGGGCACCCTTAGCGCCCCCCCAACCCGCAAAGGAACCCACTAACGGGCTCCGAAGTGAAGAGGGAAGTGGCGCGGTGCTGTGAGTCAACTGCTATTTCCGTGGAGCGAAGCCGCATAGCCGTTGCCGGAGAGCGCTGCCTTTTTCCTGGGACAATTTGGCTTCTAAAATAAGCACCCGTGAGTACTTAAAATTTGAACAATCGGACTTTAAATAAGGACTTGCGTGCAGAAAGGAATTGGACTTAAAATTTACTTCAATTTGGTACTGAAACGGGAAGGTCTAAACAGGAAGTCAGCCTTCCGTTTATTTGTAGACAGAATAAAGCAAAGACAACGTAAACTAGAGCTCAGAAAATCGCCTCTAAAGGATTGGATTTCATCATTTAAAATTGTGGAACCCCCCTTCGACAGCAGGAGAAGAAGGGGGATCTTTTTCGGACTGTTTAAACCTGCAGAAGTGAGTTTAAAGTAACTTTCCACCGTCCTGATCCTGGAGCGGGGTGTCAGGACTGACGTTTGAAGCTCATTGACCAGAGACAAACGTTTTTGACAGATAGTTAAAGGAAGAGAAACATAGTGATTCCACTGTTTCCTTTCGCATTTTAAGGAACAAATATTGACAAAATATCTCAAAAGGATACTTTGTTGCAAGAACAAATAGAAGTTCTCCCCTAGAGGGAGACTGTGAAACTGTAACTAATTCCAGGGAGCTTGCAGCTGTCACAGATTACAATCGTGGGAATGGACTTGTGACCTTGTAGGACAATGTATTCAGAGGCTCTGTTGTGTGCTCTCTGGAAAACAAGTGCCCTACTGGAACAGTTAAATGAGAAGATGGATTTGATGACTAATGCGGCCAGAATTTTTGAACAGGCAGTGGGAAACTATGTGGAGCCCACCCAGGAATTAGAACAGGAGTGCGTCCTGACAGAGCAGATGAGAGAAGAGGATGTTGCTGAATCTTGGGCGCCAGAGATGGAGGGAGCTGCGGCCTTGCAGGAGCATGAGCTTTTGGACTTGACAAATGAACTTGGAAAAAGCCAGATTTGGAAAGATAAAGTTTGGATTGGTTTGGAAATCCCTACGCAGGGATGTTTGGACTTTCCGAGTCTGGCAATGGGCCGTGAGATGTTTGGAGCTGTGGGGGCTCTCAATTTTGGAGGGATTCTGAAACATGTTTTTAAATACCACATGGAGTTGAGTCTGGACTATGGAAAAGGGGCTGATTTGTTGAAAAGGGTCAAAAACATCACCAAGCTGGAGTTCCCACGAGTGAAAGGAGAATATGAAGAAGAGCTGCGGAAGGGACATGGAAGAGATTTAAGGGCCTCGGATATAAGGTTACCAGGTTAATGCGCTAGATCGATGGGATAAAAAGGACTGACAAAACCCAGGACCAGGAGGAAAGGACGCTGGAGGAAGACTCGATTATTTTTATTTTTTTTTATTACCAGGATTGTTTTATAAAATTGATGAATGTTAGAAAAATGCTGGAATGAAATTACTTGGCTCTAGTAAAAATGTTTAAAGAATTAGGTAAGAATATTATGGTTGTGAGAAGTCGGTAAAAATAAGATTTAAGTTTTAAGTTTTTAAGGTTTTCTATAAGATAAGATGAAAATAGATTAAAGTAATGTAATGACAGAATATTATGAAATATGGAAAGGATTTGCTGCGATAATTATTAACTAGGATACAAAAAAAGGGAGGAGGAGGAGGTCAAAGAAAGAAGGTAATGAAAGTTGAGGATTTGAGAATGATGGAGTTATTATTGTCTGTTTGCGGCGTATTTTTGTTTTTTGAATTTGTATTGTTTGATGTGGTTTGTTTTTTCTTTGTTTCTTTTTTTTCCTTTTCTGCTTTGTTTTTTCTCTGTAATTTAAAAAATTTTCAATAAATATCATTAAAAGAAAAATTATATATTTGAACATGGCTATCATATCACCCCTTAACCTCCTCTTCTCCAGGCTAAACATGCCCAGCTCCCTTAGCCGTTCCTCATAAGGCATCGTTTCCAGGCCTTTGACCATTTTGGTTGCCCTCCTCTGGACATGTTCCAGTTTGTCAGTGTCCTTCTTGAACTGTGGTGCCCAGAACTGGACACAGTACTCCAGGTGAGGTCTGACCAGAGCAGAATACAGTGGCACTATTACTTCCCTTGATCTAGATGCTATACTCCTATTGATGCAGGCCCAGAATTGCATTGGCTTTTTTAGCTGCCGCGTCACACTGTTGGCTCATGTCAAGTTTGTGGTCAACCAAGACTCCTAGATCCTTTTCACATGTACTGCTCTCAAGCCAGGTGTCACCCATCTTGTATTTGTGCCTCTCATTTTTTTGCCCAAGTGCAATACTTTACATTTCTCCCTGTTAAAATTCATCTTGTTTGTTTTGGCCCAGTTCTCTAATCTGTCAAGGTCGTTTTGAAGTGTGATCCTGTCCTCTGGGGTGTTAGCCACCCCTCCCAGTTTGGTGTCATCTGCAAATTTCATCAGGATGCCCTTGAGTCCATCATCCAAGTCGTTGATAAAGATGTTGAATAAGACCGGGCCCAAGACAGAACCCTGTGGCACCCCACTAGTCACTCTTCTCCAGGATGAAGAGGAACCATTGATGAGCACCCTTTGGGTTCGGTCAGTCAGCCAGTTACAAATCCCCTGAGTGGTAGCATAGTCAAGACCGCATTTTACCAGCTTCTTTACAAGAATATCATGGGGCACCTTGTCAAATGCCTTGCTGAAATCAAGGTAGGCTACATCCACTGCGTTCCCTTCATCTACCAGGCTTGTAATTCTGTCAAAAAGCAAGATCAGGTTAGTCTGACATGACTTATTTTTCAGAAATCCATGCTGACTATTGGTGATCACAGCATTCCCTTCTAGGTGCTCACAGACTGTTTGCTTAATGATCTGCTCCAGAATCTTCCCTGGTATTGATGTCAGACTGACTGGGCGGTAATTATTTGGGTCCTCTCTTTCCCCTTTTTGAAAATAGGGACAACATTTGCCCTCCTCCAGTCTGCCGGGACTTCGCCTGTTCTCCAGGAATTCTCAAAGATGACTGCCAGTGGTTCTGAGATCACATCTGCCAGTTCTTTTAATACTCTTGGATGCAGTTCATCTGGCCCTGGAGACTTGAATACATCTAAACTAGCCAAGTATTCTTGTACTATCTCCTTAGTTATTCTGGGCTGTGTTTCCTTTGCTGAATCATTTGCTTCAAATTCTTCAGGTCGGGCATTGTTTTCTTTATCGGAGAAGACTGAGGCAAAGAAGGCATTGAGGAGTTCAGCCCTTTCTGTGTCCCCTGTTTGCATTTCACCATCTTCTCCTCTGAGTGACCCCACTGTTTCTTTGTTCTTCCTTTTGCTACGAACATACCCATAAAAGCCTTTTTTGTTGCTTTTAACCTCTCTAGCAAGCCTGAGTTCATTCTGTGCTTTAGCTTTTCTGACTTTGTGTCTACACGTGCTGGCTATTTGTTTGAATTCCTCTTTGGTGGTTTCCTCCTTTTCCATTTTTGTGCACATCCTTTTTAATCTTAACTCAGTTAAAAGTTCTTTAGATAGCCACCCTGGCTTCTTTAGGCACCTTCCATGTTTCCGTCTCATTGGTATTGCCTGACGTTGTGCTTTTACTATCTCCCTCTTAACAAACTCCCAGCCATCATGAACTCCCTTTCCTTTTAGTATTACTGTCCATGGGATCTCACCCAGCACTTCCCTAAGTTTTATGAAGTCGGCTTTCTTAAAGTCAAGAAATTGAGTCCTAGTATGCTTGGCTGCTCCTTTCCGTTGTATAGTAAACTTCAGAAGAGTGTGATCACTTGCGCCTAATGATCCTTCCACTTCTACCCCACTAACCAGGTCATCCACATTGGTTAGGACCAGATCTAAAATGGCTGTTCCTCTTGTTGCTTCTCCCACTTTCTGGACAATGAAGTTGTCTGCAAGGCCAGTGAGGAATCTGCTTGACCTTATGCTCTTGGCTGAGTTTGACATCCAACAAATATCCGGGTAATTGAAGTCCCCCATTACTACTATCTCCTTCCTTTTGCATGCTTGGCCATCTGTCCCAGGAAGGCATCATCTATGTCCTCCGTTTGGCTTGGGGATCTATAGTAAACTCCCACAATGAGGTCACTGTTATTCTTCTCTCCCTTAATTTTGACCCAAATGCTCTCACTTTGGCTTTGAGGTTCTAAATCTTGGATCTCTTCACAGGTATACACATCCCTGACATATAACGCCACTCCTCCTCCTTTCTTGTCTGGTCTGTTTCTCTGAAATAGATTGTATCCCTCCATTATTACATTCCAATCGTGGGACTTATCCCACCAGGTTTCAGTGATGCCTATTATGTCATATTTAGTTTGCTGTACCAAGAGCTCAAGCTCATCTTGTTTATTTCCCATGCTTTGCGCATTAGTGTACAGACATTGAAGACCATTAATCATTCCCCCGTGTCTCTTATTTAAGGATTTTTTCCTCCCACCACTAGGTCTGCGTGCTGTTTGCTCCATTTGGTCTATGATATTTGGATGATCATCTTCATCAACTGATAGACTCCTACCTTCAGGAGCACTGTCTCCCTCCCCCACATTAATCAGTTTAAAGCCCTCCTGATGAGGTTTCTGAGATTTTTGGCAAAAACATTTCTCCCAACCGTTGTGAGGTGCAGCCCATCGCTTGCCAGAAGTCCATCTTCAAGAAATTGCAGAAGTATATCTACAATATCTTCGTTCCTGCCTTCTTCTTGTTGTTCTCATATCTTCTACATTCTGATCTTAACGCTTTAAAGTTCTCCGTCCCTGGCTATGCGATTCTCAATCATGTCAGAAATTATATATCCTTTCATCCATTGAGTTCAGCTTTGTTTATGTATATATATTTTTTCAACTGTCGATTTGCCAGCGCAGCTTTTCCTGATTTCATTCCAGTCTTCCAGTCTGGGCTGAGGTTCCAAGTCTATCGTTTGAAGTTTCATGATGCAGCAACTCCCAAGTTGTTAAATCATTCCAATCCGGGCTGTTGTCCAAGTCTGTCATTTGAAATTTAATGACGCAGTAACTTCCATGTGGTTAATTGTTAAATTGTTGAGCATACTGTTTGCAATGTTGCAATGTAAATGAACTGTATTCCACAGATATAAGTCATTTGATGATCGATCAGCCTTCCCGGAGACCACACAATCCCCCCCTCTGGGCCCTAGAAGGGGGGTTGCAAGATCTCCATTTGGCCTTCTCTCTCACTCATAATGAAGAAATTCTGCACACAGATGCACTGTATGTTATCCCAAATTGTTGTCTCAAGTCTTTATAAAGTCAGCTAGCAAGTATTTCCCGCTTCCCTCAAAAAAGGGAGGAATTCTTATTTTTCCGTGCTGTGTCATATTAACAAGCGCCATCTTGTTTCTTCTTTTATCTTTATCAAGTCTTTCAAGTCTAAGTAAAGCTGTGCAATTAAATACTTAATTATAAATAGAAGTCCATCTGTACTTTTTAAAAAAATTAGGTTTCTTGATGAGGCTTGGCATAGAAAACCAATTGTAGATATTGAGAAGAGAAAAAGGACATACCAATCACCTCCGTAATCCAAATGCCATGAAGAGAATCTTTTTGAAGTCCGAGCTTAAACACCAGGGACTGTACAGTTCTGGAGGTTTTTCTCAATTTTCTTTTTTTTTTAAGAATAATTTTTTATTAACCGACCAATCACATCAAATCAAACCAAATTACATAAATTCCAAATTACACAGCCGAATTTTAAATTTTTGTTGGGGGTACCCATATTTCAAGTTCCGAAGGGGATCCAATCAACTTCTTGCTTCTTACTGCTGTTTTAATGTCCACAAATCTAATCTTATGATGTTCACAGTACTATCCAGTCCTTTCTTATTGTTTTTCCACATCTCTTGTTGTTATTTTCATATATTTTTCCTTTCTCTTTGTGACCTCTGATAATCTCCGCAAGCTGGTTAGAACAGTTTGTAATCCTGTGTGGATATTATTTTTTTTATCCAGTAGCCATATCCAGACGTTTTCCATATATCACTTCCATACATCAAAACAGTCTTAGCGTCATTAATCTTCACCAATCTGCCTCCTTTCTCAAAACCTCTGAGGAGATTCACTAGGAATGCAGTCTGAAAACAAGTCCGTTCTTCCTCCCGGCTATAAATCCTTTGGCAAGATGGCGACTCCGAATTAATTGCTGCACCATTCCCAAAAGCTCTTATTGCTTCTCGATCTCCATAAAGCATACTTTTGGTTAAAGTTTATCTCCACACAGACCTTAATCATCCTGCTTGGGTCAGTTCAACCGACGATTCTAATGAGGAGGGGTTCTTGTAAATCACATAGAAGGAAAGTAAAAAAGGTCCCCCCCCCATTCAGTCCCGTTGTTGTCAACATACCCAGCCTTTGGTGTATCTTCATCGTAAAATATTCCTGTTTCTCCAACCCGTCGTCTTCTTTCACAGAGGGCACTTAAATTAGCAGACTTCACTCCCCTTCTTCACTTGAAATATGTGCATTTGCTTCTTTTGTAATTAATTATTCCAAATTGCTGCAACTAGTGCGCAATCAGAGACAGCGTCCAGGAGAGCCGAGGTCCACACAGGGGCATTCTGCCTAGGGCCCTCACCCCCTTCTTTCGAATTAGGGGGTGATTTATGGGCACAGCAGGCAAGGGCAGTGTTCCCCATTTCCTTGGGGCAACAAGGGAGGCTGCGTACTCCCATAACAGCCTCTTAATTACCCCGTGTGGGTCGGAGAGATGGTATTGTCGGCCATCTTCCAATGTGCCCCCTAGTGGCCCCATGTTTTTCTCAATTTTCTTTGGTCCAGACTATGTCTGTTTATTGTCCAAATCTAATAATTTAACAAACAGATATTTCCGGCTTATGAGAGTGACTTCAGAGAGTGCCAGCCGTGTCGTGCTCTGGGACCCAGCGTCCTGCCACTTGCACCTTGATGCAAGCTGACAATCTCGGATGGTCTGCAGGTCTACGAGACAGTCCTCCCCCACCCTGGGGTGTCTGCCAGCACAAATTACCCCCACATCAACCCTGAATTACCAGCACTCCAATCGTGTGAGAGTCAGACATTTCTCACCGCTGGAAACAGGAAGCTTAAGGAGTATCATTTTAGTCTGGTTGTTTCCATTCCGGATAAGAAAAGGCAGAGTATCACATCTGCGGTGATATTTTTGTGTTACGCTATCGCACATTGTACTGCTAGCGATGTCTCATCACAAGGGATGCCTCATGCTTGTATCACAGATCTCGGCAGTAACCGCCTCTATCATTTTGGTTGCCCATTTTTGAGCCTTTTTTAGCTCTACATCAGTCTTTTTGAGGTGAGGTGACCAGACTGTGCATACTCTTCCACCAGTGTGATCCCTAACAGCACATTTGGCTTCATGCGTTGTTTGGGCCTAAGTTTTCCAGCACATTGCCTTAAGCCTCACACATTAGAGTGCTGTGCCCTTTAGCTAACACATCCCTGTAGCCGGGTTTTATGCTTATCAGCAAAAGCTAACTCTTCTATGAAGGCGAGTAAGCAAACCATGCTTGCCTCTTTCTTAATAATAATAAAAATAAGGTATGCCACATTTGACTCTTTTCAAATTGCTTCCCTGGAGTCCCATTGACCTTTGAAGAGTAGCCCTCAGGAACGGCACTGAAACCTGCATTAAAGGCAACCTTCTTTCTTTAAGAGCCTATTTCCTGGTCTTTCTTCTAAATATTTATTTTGTGAATGCACTTTTGTGGAAAGACAGCCTGTGCATTAAAATGCTTTATTACCCCACAGGCTGCCTTCATAGGCTGGCTGAATGACATATTTCTCAGCCACTTGGTGTTAATTGGGCCATTCTTTAGATTAAGAATTCATTGTTGTCCCAGCTGGCATTCCCCCCTACTGCTTCCACTTCTTAAATACAGTGTGTGTGTGTGTGTGTGTGTGTGTGTGTGTGTGTGTGTGTTGTGTGTACAAAATATAGCTATAGATATAGATATGTATGTATATTTTAAATTCCCTTTTCTCGTTGAGATGTTGATGTATGTGTTAGGAAAACAAAAATATTTTCAAATCCATATTTGTAAAATTTGCTAGAGTTTGTAACTGCAGTGCCTTGTGCATTCAGAGGAAGGTTAAGTGCTGAACTGTGCACGCTGGTATTGTGGATTTTAGCAGGGGATGTTCCCTTATTTCCAAATAGCTCAAAACGCAGCAAGGGCCACTTCTCCCATGGATAAATTTCCATTTGCCCAAATATAATAATAATAATTCCTTTTCTCTTTACTTACCACAGCCGACTGGGAAAAGCACAGATAGTGGTGACCAGGAAGGACAATGGGTCAGAGCCTTAACAGAGATAAAGAAGAGGTTTGAGAAGATAGTGAGACAATTTATAAATGGCATTTTGATGGTCTCAGGTATAGTAATTCTTATTGGTCATGTGGTATTCATATTGCATGTAATTTAATTTGCATCATGAGGTCTCTCTATCTCTCTTACACACCTAAACCCACCCACACCCACCATGATGATACAAATTAAAACTCAAATGAATAATTGTACAAGCTACACACCCACCCACACACACCCCCACACACCCACACACCCACACCATGAATGAATGAAATGGTCTTTCATCCAGTGAAGACTGAATTTTGGTGTGGCCAAATTCTTGATTCTCACTTGTTCCACTAAAAGTTCAAAATCTAAACATTAAAAAGTATAAAATTCAGAATGTGGAACCTGATTTTTTATTATTATTAGATTTTGTGCTTATATTCATATCTGCAGTGTTAAAATCAGCCATGAAATTCACTGTGTGGCCTTTGGCCCATCTGTCTCTTGGCCTAACTTACCCCACAGGGTTGCTGTGAGGATAACTTGGGGAAAAGGAGACTCATGAATGCCACCTTGAGCTCCTCAGAGGAAAAATAGAATGGATATAAACCAATAAATAATAAATAAACAGTCTCTGTCCAGTTTGCCTGCCCCAATTTTGTATGGAGTGAAGGGGACCACATTTGGAATAATGAAGAAGAGAAAGCATAACCTAAAAAGGAAAGAATCAAGAAACAGGTGTGCTTGTTGTTGTTTTTTAACGATAATGAGGCTCTTACCATTTTTGGCTTACTGAGAAGGAAAGTGTGCAGACGATAGCTAACTCAATCTAAGTGTGATGTTAGTGCCCCACAAACCACAACCTGTTTAGGCACTATGAGACTCAGAAATAAATTAAATGAGCATGCACAGACTGCACCTGCCGCACCAGCGAGAAAGCTCTTTGTATTTAATTTGGCGATTCTACAACGTGTATCCTTTGTACAAATAGAATCCCCACAGCAGAATATCCTGTTGGATCAGACCAAAGACCAACATCCTGTTCTTGCAGTAGCCTACCAAACTCTCTCTCTCTCTCTCTCTCTCTCTCTCACACACACACACACACACACAGCATTTTAAAACCTAAATAAGAATTATTGATATTTATTATCAAAAGAGACTCACACTGTGTCTCCCATTGCACTCTCTTAGTCAAAAAGATAGCTCAAGCTAGCAACCACATTATTCTTCTGACTAGTATAAATAATGTGCTTTGCACTGTTTGGAGATGGGGTCTTCAAAGAAATAGCTCTGAGCATGCTCAGAAGGCAAGAAGGACTGCTCTTCAATCAGCCCTCTGTTGCCCTATACAGGTGCTGGAATTGCCCTTGTAACAACAAGAGGGAGGGGTAACCTTCACAACTGGGACTGAAAAGCTGGCAGTCTTGATACTCAAATTTCATGTACAGTGGTACCTCTGGTTACGAATGGGATCCATTCCGGAGGCCCATTTACAACATGAAAAGCCTGCAACCTGAAGTGCCATATCTGCACAGGTGCTTGTGCGTAAAAAAAATTATTACTATTACTATTACTATTATTATTATTATTATTATTATTATTATTATTATTATGTGACATTCTCATTGGGAGAGCTGTGCCCCAGTAGCTCCAATGGGCCTGCCTTGTCAAAAATAACTGACAATTCTCTTCTGGTTTCTATGGCAGGGATATGTTGTGTAGACTATCCAATTGACCTTGCTCCTTCAAAGCAAGTGAAGTTTTTGATAAAGGACCCAGTACTTCTGGCCTGGGATCGAGTTGATACCAGACCTTTGGCCGCTAAACGGAGATCAGTTGTCAAGCCATATCTTACACGGAATCTTGCCTTTGATAAGCCTTTCAGGGGGAAATATAGGCCTCCTTCAAGGTCAGTGAGGTTATCTTTTGTGGGGGAAGTGTCTTAGTTTCTATAGAAAAGCAGGACTAATCATGTGGGTTAGCAGGCTGCAGATATGATCCTTGTAAGCAGGCATTTCAGTGGGCGGCAGTAAGCAGGACAGAGGGGCAAGGTGTGGTGTGAGTGCAGCACTAGAGACATTCTGATGCTCCCTCCACTGCACCCTTACCGTGCCAATCTGCCTCTCAGCTGGCAGCAGTGACCTCTACATTGGGAAACTGGATGGACAACACTGCCCTGCAGGCTGCTTCTGATTTTTAGGCCGTGGCACATTGCGTCAGATGCATGAAATGGATGCAGAAGGTGCAGGATGCAGAGATGCTTGGTCTCAGGTGCGCTAAAGGATGCCCAAATTAGCAATCATCCTGCAGTAGAAAAAAGAAGCTGCCATAATGGGTGCATTTGCATGAACACAGATGCTAAATCAGTCTTTGCCAACCTGGTGCCCGCCCAGTGCTGGATTTACGTATAAGTTAAACAAGCTGTAGCTTAGGGCCTCGCTCTCATGGGTGCCCCCCAAAAAATTTAAAGGGGAAGAAACCTGGATGTACATTTCCAAAATATAAGATAAAAAACAAATAAAATAAAACCTACATACAGCAACAGTGTTTTGTGTTGTGTAGGCTCCTATTTGTTATGTGGCTTTAGATACCTATTAGGGTCCATAACTTACCATATAGCATATATTCAACACAAAAACAGTGACAATTTGTTGTTGACAAAGGGCAGCTGGACATATAAAGGGCCCCATTACCTTCAATAGCTTAGGGCCTCATCAAACCTAAATCCGGCCCTGTGCCCGCCTGACGGTTTTGGAGTCCCACTCCTATCTTTCCGGGGCTGAATGGAGCCTGTGGCATTGCGGCAACCTCCCTTGATAAAGATGCGAGTGTGGTAATGTGACCAGATTTGGGTGCTTTGAAATTTAGACACTCCCTGTCGTCAGTAAAATTTGAGAGGTCTGATGTTATCTGTATGTGGTAGTGTTTCCTAATATCCAGCAGCAAGGATTTTTAATAATGTGAAGCGAAAACCTGTGGCCAGAGGATCAAAGTAACGATGAGGCACTTTGTAAACTGAACTGGAATTTCATTTATACACTCTCAATGAGGGTTACAGTGTAATGGTTACTTTGATAAGGCACAACCCTTCGTTTCAGTCAAAAGCTCTTTACAGAGATAGTTAAGAACTTTAGATAAAACTCTCACTTTTACTTGTCTCTGAATAAATTGATTCCTTCTAGGATGGCTATTTTGTTCTACTAAGCCAATAAAACACACCCAGGACCTTTTGGGAAAATCTTTACCTTCCCCTCAGAGAAATAATCAGGATTGCCCTGCCTAACTAACCCCTTTCCAAGCTCTAATTTAATCCCAGTCTGATTCCCATCTGACAGTTTATTATTGTTGTTGTTACTACTACAATTTATTCCTGCCCTTCACCCTAAGGTCCCAGGGCAATTTACAACAATAAAAACACAACATTAATACTAAAACACAGTATCACATACTTTTAAAATCTATTAAAAATAATTTATCTCTATCTCAGCCCTAACTCAGCCCTTTCCATCCAGGCCTGATTCCTATTTTATAGTTCATCCCAATCTGACAGTTTAACTGTCAGGTTCAAATTTTGAACTCTCCACTCCCTCTTCATTGATTGGCTTCTGAAGTCTTCAGGAGGCTGACCAAAGCTCTATCCATCACAGAGCCTTAGTCCAAAATATCAGAAGGTCACTAAATTGACAACTGCTGTGCTAAATGTTCCCTGGAGCACCAAAACAGCGAAAGACGTAAACAGGAGAGAAACTTTAGGGAGAATTACTCCTCATACAGACTTCTGCTTGTGCTTTCTCAGCATGGGCTGGAGTGTGGTGGTGGTGGTGGTGGTGGTGGTTGTGTCATGCCATTTTCCCCTGCAAAACCTTCTCTTTACTGCTGACAAACGTCAATCTGTAGAAAACCCAGTCCCTGTTTTACAAACCCTGGACAAATCTGTCCGTTTTGGTTTCTCTCAGTTTCTCCTTTTTCCAATCTTTAGTTCACCACACCTATACCCCAGCTTGTGATTTAATTATTTATTTTTATTATTTTAAAAAGAAGCCCTCACAAAATTCACCAGCATCTTAGTGTGCATTTATCCTAATGGACTTGCATGCTGTTTTCCCTGCTATAATGTACTTTTGTGTGTTCACAATTTTGTTCACGCTTTAATAAACATGGGGGGTGGGGTGGGCTGGAGAACTGTACCGCAAAATTCAGAAAACTGAAGATTTCAAAAGATTGCTGCCTTTTGGTTCACATTTTGTTTTGGGGAGTTCAAAACTAAACCCAGCTTCTCCCTTGCCCCTCCTTAGCCAGCCCAAAAATTAAAGAGGCATACTCTGGGAGAAGGGCTATGGAAAGAGAGATTGTTGGCAAGCCACTTTGGAAGATGTCAGACTTGATTGGAGCTGTGGCCCACCACTCATTCCTTCATCTCCTTAACTAGTTGCTGACCAGGTCTTCAACTATGTAGCCTGCTTTCTATCATGTTTGGCATTTTGCCCTTGATGGACCATAACAGGACTGTATTTGAGAAGGACACGTCTCTATGGTAAAGCATCTGCCTTGTGTGCAAAGGGCTGCAAGTTCACTTCTCAGCCTCTGCAGGTAGGGTTGGGAGAAAGCCCTCTACGAAATCCCAGAGAGCTGCTGCCAGTCAGTGTAAACACCACTAAGCTCGGTGGACCGTTGGCCTGACTCAGTACAAGACAGCATCCCAAGGACCACCTGTTTCCATATGTACCAACTTCATTGTCCTTTCAGTGCCAGGCAGAAATATCTTTTTATTTCCCCATGTTGGAAGATGCAGTTTAAATGCTGCTGGCTGTTTTATGCTACTTCTTTTAATTCTGTGTCTTTTAGATTATTTTTTTATTTATGTTTTAATGGTTTTGTGCTTTTAGTATGCCACCCTCATGAATACGTTTGAAGGGCAGTATGAAAATGCTTAAAATAACCAACCAACCTCTGACTAGGGTTCAAGTCGCAACTTTACTTTGCTTTCTCTGCCCCCCACCCCCACAATTACCTCTCTTTCTCTCACAACCGCATCACGTGCTTCTCACAGGAGCAAAGCAGAGGTGTCTGCAGCTAAGGATTCAGTTCGTCCACCAGAACCTTGGGCAATTTCTCTTGCTGACTGTCCGGTTGTGCTACACAAAATTATGTCTAAAGTTGGAGATGATTTATGCTGCAGGTGTGTGGTGAAGATCCCGTTGATTACAGACTTGGAATTTGAAAAGTTTATTACTGCCCCAAGAGACCCTGATCAGGTCATTGTGATCTGTGTGATCTCGCCTCAAGATCATTCCTACTCCCCTTTCTTTGAGTGGTCCATCGAAAATCTGTACATACAAATGCAACACGGCCGTCCCTCACCTTGTATTCAGGTAAGCTAGCTGTTAAACATGTGCGTGCATGTGCACGCGCGCACACACACACACACACACACACACAGACAAGTTGTTTTGGTTGTACATCTGTGTTTGTATTTTGTGAGCATAGGATTTGATATCTGACACAGAAGTCTTCTTCCTGTTCATTTTAATTAAGTTTAAAAGCATGTTTCTGGAGCGTATGGAAGCTGAGAATAAGATAAACTCTGAAACATGAGGGTGGAAGCCAAAAGGAGACCTTCCAATGGTTGGGTGACCCCTTCTATTCTCTGCACCAAAAGCTCTTTGTCACTCCTCTCAAAATAGATAAAGCTGCAATGTTATGCCCACTTTCTAATCCCCAATAGGCACAATGGAACTGCAAAACATCCATAGAATTACACTGTAAATTAAAGTCATACAAATAAACAGCTTCTGCTTATTTCCATATTTGATTCACAACACCCTATCAGTCTTTCCTTGTCACAAGAATAGGACTACTTTGGTACTTAAACTGGATTTTGGTGAAGCATATACACACCTTAGATATGAGGCCCTGTTTACTTGGCTTCTTTTCACTAAAGGTATTGGACAGGCTCCCTGTCATTTAGGCAGCTCATGCGCACACAGACACATATTGCCTGATGAGAACATGCCTTGCTAGAACAGACTGCCAAGGCCCATCTGGTCTACTATTCTGCTTCCCACAGCAGCCATCTTGTGGCCCACAGGCAGGGCAAGAAGGTGAAAAACAGATCCCCCACCAGTTGTCCTCAGAATTTGGTATTTGGTGGTATTTATTTCTTCTGAATATAGAATAGCAATTTAGCAATGTGACTGTTATGTATTTATCCTCTATGAATTTCTTGTATCCCTCAAGAAAAATGGACACAGAGGTTAGAGGGCTTTATATTTTGTTACAGGCACAGGAACTCCAGCCACAACATTTTCCCTCCCCACAATGATCCCTCCAGGCTGTGATATCGTTTTTCAACACATTCATTTTCAGGGCCTGTGCCAGTATCTGTCATCCATGGGCAGTTGCCAGGACCACAGCATCTCAGCAGGGCTCATTGCTGATGTCTGCCCTGGACTCGCCTTAAAATGTTTGTTTGACCAGTGCACAATGGTTGGATCTTGCTGCCATTTTAATTCCCCACAATGTGCCACATTAACGCTACATCAGCACATTGTGAGAAATCAAAATGGAGGCTAGATTCAGAAGCCTGGTACTCCTTAGAGCACTGTTGCTGTTGGACTTTGCCTCAGTTTAAGCTACCAGGGCACGGCAACAGTTGAGGTGCCTGCAGTAGAGAGATATCAGTCTCAAACTGGCTTTGGTGACTTTGGAATGAAGGAAGCAATGTATGGCAAATCAGTCCTTGGGGAAGAGAAGAAGAAGAGTTTGGATTTGATATCCCGCCTTTCGCTCACTTTAAGGAGTCTCAAAGTGGCTAACATTCTCCTTTCCCTTCCTCCCCCACAACAAACACTCTGTGAGGTGAGTGGGGCTGAGAGACTTCAAAGAAGTGTGACTAGCCCAACGTCACCCAGCAGCTGCATGTGGAGGAGCGGAGACGCGAACCCAGTTCCCCAGATTACGAGACTACCGCTCTTAACCACTACACCACACTGGCTGAGATGTGGTTCAGTGGGCTCTACGGTAAAGCTGATAATCTCAGCCTTTCTCATAGTCTCTTAGCAGTTTATACGGCCAATGGCTGGAATAAGTCTCTGCTACAGGTTCTCCCTGCTTTCAGTCAGGTTTTCAAACAGTGGGTGGGAAAAGAGAATGAAAAACACCCTACTCATATGCAAGGAAAACAGAGAGGTCTGCTAGAGCCCTCACTGTCTCCACTTCATCTGCCTGCCTGCTGGAGTTGGCAATATTTAGTTCCTGTGCTAGACTGTTTCTGCTCCCTAGCATCAGAAACGTTACACATATTTGATTGGTTAGAACAGAAACCCCCAGGACCTTTCCAATACACTGACAGTATCACTTGTTCCATTCCCAGTGCAAGCATGATCCCTTCCGCTTCCTGAGATATGATCTTAAGTGCCCTCTAAACAAAAATCCTCCTCTGCTGGTGCAGAAGCATGCCGTTGTTCCTGGAATGGTGGTGGTAAGTCTCTGGTCTTTTTCTTCTAGCAAAAATTCACATACAAACAAACTTCTAATAAATGAGACCCCACAACCTTTTGAGGAGTTCACTAATGCTTTTGCTATTATAAATTTGTTAGTCTTTAAGGTGCCACTAGACCAGGGGCGGATTTTGGTAATATGGTGCCCTGGATAAGGACAAAATTTGGTGGGCCCCCAAATATTTATTTTCACAGTAATTCCTTTTGGTACAGTTGATCTTTTCAGTAGGTACCCATATAAATATAGTTGTTGTTGCTGCTGCTGCTGCTGCTTATGTGGCTCCTTAGCTCAGCGCCCTGTGCAGGGGAAGTGCACTATATCCAGTGCTGACGAGACTCTTGGTTGACTTTCACAGAACTCCCTAGTATGTTTAGGGTTGTAGTCCTAGTTACATAATGATTATGCACTGTATCCACAATCCCTATAAATACACTGTAAAATACCTGTCTCCTCTCTTTGGTTTCTTTTCCAACAGAAGATTTAAAAGCACTCTTTCTACTTGATTTAATCTCATCATCTGACCTGTGAACTCAGCATCATGATCTGTTTTAATATCTGTCTATATATAACAAGTGAGCAATAGAGCTTGGAATTCAGTTGACTCCCCTAAACCTCATGTTTTGTGCAGAAAATGTGCTACTGTGTTGAATGACTGGGGCTCCCACTCTAGTTATTCCTGCAGTATATTGCTCTCTTCTTGGGAGCCTTAAGCACATAAGGAGAGATGTTTTTTATTTAGACCCATTGACAGAGGCGCCAAATCAGATAATGAAAGCCTTTCTGTGCTCTATTAAATGCTTGTAAACCGCTGGCCATGGAAGTCTAACACACTGGGTAGTCAAGTTCAGAGTTTCAAAGGGTTTGGAGGATATTATTCATTCCCTTCAGCACAGAAGAATCTATTGGCTGACTTCACCCTTGCTCTGTCCCAGTGCAGTTAATCATATTATATACCACTTTGAAGTACAGGCAACATTGATTCTAATAGCAGGAGAGAATATTTTAACTGCATAAAAATGGGGGTGGAAGTGAATCAGAGGTGGGGTGTGGGTCACTGGTAAGAACTTTGATTCATCTCAGCAGAAGGCTGGCACCCAAGATTATCCACATGGGAAGAAATAGTTAAAAGAAATGGTGGGAAAGTAAGGTAACTTTCTCCCCTCTCCCACAATATTGTTGTGATCATAATTAGTACTGACATAATTAATCTACTCTTTTCAGCTTTTTCATAGATGTATATTATCCTTTACACCCCAAATTTAATTTAGTTAGCTCTGAGTTCACCAGAAATTTAAGAACCAAGACCCTTTTAAAAGAGCTAGATGCTATGCGTGTCTGCTTGGGAGTAAATACTATTACTTCCAAGCAAATATGTTTAGAATTGCAACCATAATATTTGCATGTGACATGTGCAAATAATCTGCATAATAACTGGCTGAATATGGATGGGTGCCAGGCAGCAGCATCTGGGGAGCATTCCCTTGGATTATTTTATTTATTTACTGCATTAATATAGCTGTCTCGTGATGACTTCTCTGAGTGGCTCGCAAAGCAAAAAATTAAATAAAACACAACACTAAGCTACCATATAAAGCAATGAAATGATAACAAATTAATTTTAAAAACCGCATTGAAATACAATTAAAAACCCAGTGGGTAGCATCCACTGTAGTCTATGCATTGCTAACCTTGGGAATACTACTCTGTGCTCTGTGTGGCGCTATCCTTGGGCCTGGTCCAGAAGCTCCAGTTAACTACAGCAAGAAGCAACAAGACTGCTGGCAGGGGCAGATGGCCAACAGCATGTGGCTTCTCTGCTAAAATACCCTGGTCAGCTACTAGACCAGGTTCAACTTTCTTGTATTCATAAGCAAAGCCCTGAACAAGTTGGGTCCAGGTACCTTAACGACCACCTGAGCCTTTAGAATCTAGCTCAATCACTGATATCATCCAGAGGAGCACTGTTAGCTGCCCCCCCCCATGCAGACCTGGCCCACCCTTGAGGCAGGGTGAGGTGACTGCCTCAGGCGGCAGGATCCACAGGGGCAGCAGATCCTGATGTAGATCTTCACTCGCCCTTTGTTCCTGATGCAGATCTTCACTCAACTCTTCTTCCCTGGTGGGGAAGGGAGTCTCATTTTGTGGTTCACCTCAGGTGCCAAAAGGTCTTCAGCCAGAAGAAGCTTCAACTAGAAGTCAGGCATTTAGTCTCACCAGTTCATTGCTGAGGAATACTCTTCTAGCTAGACTTGCCATATTCCCAAAGGGGGAAATCTGGACAAAGTTGTTGACCCTTTTTTTCCCTTGGGGGCGGGGGGAGTTGTTGAGCTTTTCTTGAGAGGGATTTTTAAAGCATTTTTGCCCTAGTTGTCATATGTCTGGGTTTCCCTAGATATTTGATGATTCATCAATAATCCACCTGGATGCCATTTTGACACTCCAATTCCTGGACATATCTGGGAAAACCCAGACATATGGCAGCCCTACTTCCAGCAGAAATTCAGCACACATCCTCACAGCTAATTTTCAGACATCTCTTCAAGACCTTTTTATACTGACAGGCCTGTTCAGTTGTTCAAACTATTCCAAGATGAACCAGCTATTTTTATGTAACATCTTTTTTATGTTACATTTTATTGTACTTGTATACTGCCCTGATATTTTATGTGATGGGGTGGCCTATAAATATTTTTATAAGTAAAAATAAATATATCCATGCCTTTATCCTGAAAAGGATTGTTTCTTTGCATCAAAATATTGCCTATTGAAGAGCACAAGAATAGAAGGGTTCTTGTACTCTTGCAGGCTGACTCCATATGAAGAATCAAGCATAGAATATTTATTTGACCATCTTAGTCTGCACACAGGGGGCAAAAACCGGGTTATAAAATGACTTAGAAGAACAGTAATATTTGGGGTGTTTTTATCAGCTGGAAAGATTTGTTGAACACACTAAGATTTGTTCTTCCAACCTGAAAGAAATTGTAAATTGCAACCCATGGCCATAGACCATCTATGCACTGTCAGCCATAATATACAGAGGTAAATTAATGAGTGCATAGAGACTATTTTTCTTCTCTAGATAGAAATGGGCAAGCCCAGCAGGTGTATTTGAGACTGCCTTGTCGATATCTTATGACTGTGACATTCACGGGGTTAATGAATTATTCTGGTGCCGACTACATACGCAGACTAAGGCCCCATCTGTAATATACATTTAAAGCAGTCACGGTTTATCCCAAAGAATCTTGGGAACTGTAGTTCAATCAATCAATCAATCAATCAATCAATCAATCAATCATTTTATTTGTATGCCACTTCCCAAAGGTAAAACCATGCTCAAGGCGGCTTACAACATATAAAAAATTGCAAAATTACAAACATAACAAAATAATCAGAAAAATAAAGCACATGACCAAACTAATCAAAAGGTACACAACCAAATTGAACAATTTCTGCATAAATCTAAAATAAAGATAAAAAACAATATCAATGACAGCAACAACTCTCATCTGTCCAGCTGGGTATTTGTTTTCTTAAAAAAGGAAAATAGTGAATACCACCTGAAACTTCATTACTTCCTACGTAAAGGTGACTTTTAAAACTTAGTAATACTGTGCTTTCTATGGCACTTGAAGCAGTAGCCCACTAGAGGGAACTGGTGATGCTCTGAATGGGCAGAGCTGGGAAGAGAAGAGGGTGCAACTTACAGCTGCCAAAGAACTTTGGCTTCACAATGAACGCTTTGTTCCTTGCACGGAAGCAACGCTAAATCACACAGGGCGAGCATGTGGTTGCCAGCCACCCATTTCCTATAGGGACCCTTACCATTTCCGAGCCCCTCCGTCCCACCTCCCTGATCTCATATCCTTGCCTCCTCAGGCCTTCCACCCACACCCCTTGTTCTCTCCATGGCCCCTCCTAGTTCTCCTGTGCAACTCCACATTATGCCTTCTCTCCTGGCTCATGTGCCAGTTTCTGTGGTCTGCCACGCTTTCTCTCCCACCCACGCCTCTTTCCTCTCTTACCCTCTTCACCCCTTCCTGGCCAGTCAGCCCTTTGAGACTTTCCTTTCTTGCTCTGACTTAGAATCATAGAATCTTAGAGCTGAAAGGGACTCAAGGGCCATCTAGTCCAAACCCCTGCAATGCACCCCCTCCTTCTTCTCCATGAGCACTCCACCTAGCCTCACTGCCCATCTCTTGCTGTTCCACTTATCTGCCTAGTGGTGTTGTGCCTTGCACACACCACCCCCTGTCCTGTCTTAAGTCTAGGGATACTTACCTTTTACATGTTTATTTGGGTTAAAGGAATCCATTTTATTTGGAATCCATTAAGTGAATGGATGTGGGGAGCTGGCAAAAGCATCATTGCTCTATCCTAACCTACATGCATTCATTTTAACCAGTACTGATATGCCCCCATACATATAGCGAGAGATGTAGAGAACATTTGGAACTCAGGAAAGCTGATGCTTCTGAGCAAACAGCAAGGATAGCCAAGGTGGTGCCCTTCACATGTTGTTGGACTTTAGCTCCTATAAATCCCAGTAAGCAAGGTCAGGGATGATGGGTGTTGTAGTCCGATAACATCTGGAGGACAGCAACTTGGCTACTTTTGCTGCTCCCCTATCATGGATTCATTTTCCCCATATGAACATCAGTAAGGCACTTGCAGTGTCCTGTCTTTGACCTCCACCTGCTTTTGAACCTTTTCTATCCAGCATGATATGTCCATACTCTGTAATCTTATTCTTGCCCAATGAATTTTCCTTTACAGTGTACTCTTTTTTAAAGAAATAAACAATAAACTACTGTACTGCATTAGTAGTAAAGTAAGGACAGCCAGCTTATTTACTCTGAAGGGCTACACTCCTCTCCAGTCTGGAGGCCAAAGAACATTTTGCTGCACAAACAAATTCTCTTCTCCTCTGTGCTCCCCTGCTGCCCAGAAAGCTCAAGTTCCATAATAGTTTTGACACCCTTTTGTAATAAGAGCCCCCTATCCAATAGCACATTGCCTGCAGATATGTACATTACATATTGCTATTGCTGTACATTGAATAGAAATATTATTTATTTGTGTATATGAATCTATTACAAAAACAAAACAAGTTTTTTAACTGGCCCTAGGTAGTAGGGAGGTATGCCCACCACAAATTTTAAAATTAATTACAACAAACGCTCCTTTAAAAAAGAAAAGAAAAGAAAAGTGGATTCTTTGCCTTGTCGTAGCAATATTGTTGTAGTTCTTTTAGGCAATAATGCTCCCCCAAAACACACAAACACACACCAAATAGTTTTAAAATACAGGACTTTTGGCAATTTACGGTAATCTTCTATATATCCAAGAGCGAGCCACTGAACTTTGCTGCAACCACACACACCTACAGAAATGTGAAAATATGTTGCTGTCTTGATATCTGGCACACACACAAAGGAGCTGGGAATCTCCTGTGATTTGTGGGGAATAGGGGTGTGGTCAGCAGGCACTGCCTGTGAGGGACACAGCAGCCGAAAAGGGTTTGCAGTAAGCCTTTCTGTGGTCAGGCTGTAAGACCTGTACTGTTTCTGCTTTCCCAAAGTGAATGATGTTTCATTCAACATCAGGAGTGTTAAGTGATGTGCAGGAAGTGTGTGTGTGTGTGTGTGTGTGTGTGTGGAGAGAGAGAGAGAGAGAGAGAGAGAGAGAGCTGTCAAAGCCCCTTCATGTCTGGATGAAAACATTTAAGCCTCCTGTGCATAACAGGAAAAGGAAACCATTTGGTCCAAGTCTTCCAACTCGCTTATATATATATATTTTATTGCAAAGCATTTTTGTTCCCCTCCTTCCTGCCTGTTTGTCAACAGATGTATGCTGGAGGGAAGCCAGTCTTTGGGGGCTGTGTTTTCAACGGATACAGCTTCAGCAAGAAAGACCTGCTGAAGCAGATCAACCAAGTTTGCCTTGACTGCAAGATGGGCCACTTCCTGCCACAGAGCTTCAAATTTAGGTAAAACAGGAAGTCCAAGGCAAGGGGAAGATGGGAATGGGGACAGGGGAGGCAGTGTCATGCAGAGGTCTGTGTTTGCAACAAGAACTGGACGAACTGGTCACTGTGACCAGAGATGAGATGTTATAAGAAGAATGATGTGCCCATAAACTCCATTGTTAGCTGTTCTTGCTGCTAAGTAGATAACTAGAGCAGGGGTAGCCACTGGGATACCACCCAGATGTTATTTATGTATTTATTTCATAACATTTATACACCACTTGATTGTAAAAATCCAACTGACAGGATGTTCTTGGACTACAACTCCCATCAGTCTCAGACAACTTGGCCAATGGTCAGGGATGATGGGAGTCGTAGTTAAAGAACATCCAGGGGTACCATGTTGGCAACTCATGAACGAGATGGATAATTTTAAAAAAGAAAAAAGGTTGAATGCTAAATTCTTCCTTCTGTGTTTCAGGTTCCTAACATTAGGCCTGTTGACTGGTTAAGTTTTTAGAGTTGTATCCAAAGCTAGTTCTCAGAGTTGGTGTTTGTTAGCCCATTAAGTTAGTGGGCATGAATAATTTAGGTTTCTTAATTTGAATTAGTCTACTTTCAGTAGAACTTGGAAGTCAGTTGGATACTTGTTGTTGCTTATTCAATGTAATCAATGCATTTTGTTTACATAAATCTGCATATTACCAAATCTTTAATTTTTTTAGCCTGTTGAAGTTTCCATTAAGAATGAGAGAAATGAACTTTTGGGTTAATAGACTTGCATCACTTAGGAAAGGGCACCATCGTTTTCTTTTTTACCCAAATGCCAAATGCAGTTCAGTGTACGCATGTGTACCACACTGGGGCAAAAAAAATCCTTATTTCACAAGTGCACTAATGGAGCCTAAGCAGGTGATGACTGACCTGGAATGAGACCTTGGAAATGAAATGAAAATAAAACTGTCAGTGTTATAATGCCATTATACAAATCTGTGGTGAGACCATACTTGGAATACTGGGTACAGTTCTGGTTGCCTCACCTCCAAAAGGATATTGTAAAGTTGGAAAAGGTTCAGAAAGGGGCAAAGAACATGAGCAAGCCCTATGGAACAAGCAAAGCAGGTGTATATGTAGAGGAATATAAGATTATTAAGTGTGGAGAAAGTGCTACCATGGGCCACCAACTTGGATGGCTTTAAAAGAGGATTAGACAAATTCAAATTTGTGTAAGATAATGCTGCCAATGGCCATGATGGCTGCATTATAACTCCACAATTGGATGCATTATGCCTTTGAATGCTAGTGCTGGGAATCGTAAGGTGGTGGTGGTGGGGAGTTCTATTGCACTCAGGTTCTGCTTGTGGGCTTCCTGAAGTTATCTAGTTTGCCACTGCAAAGCATCTAGTTCGCCACTTGATGGACCTTTGGAAAATAAGCAGAGAGAAAAATAAATTTGAGATTTGCCCATCCATACCCCTTAAATATCTCTTAAACTTGTAGGGGTCAATGTAACAGACTGAATTACAACACAAGTTCCATCCATTCTTTATTATAGCGCCTTTCTTTTCCTACTCCTTCTGCATTCTCATCCCCTTTTCATCCGTAATGTGGCTTTGGAGCCTAACTTCCCTTGCACAAAAGAAACAGCGCATGTTCGCAGAATGGGGCTTCTGCAGCCCTCTTGAGAGTCTGTTGTTGATGTTTGAGGGGGAGCTGTCTGCCCCCATCTTGTTTCCTTTCCTTTCCATTATTCCCAGCCCATCTTTGTATGACTCTGCGGTGCTGCGTATTTTCCATCCTACTCTGTATTCCAGTTGCGTGTCCTATACTCTATGGACAACCCAAATTGAGGAAACTGAAGGAAAGACACAACTGCATCAAATGGACACATGTTCCCCAAATGTGCTTAATTCATTTTGAACTGCCTCTCCACCCCACCCCTGGAATTTATTCTGGAACTAGTGACGCGGCCTTGATTATCCATCAGCGATGTGAGGCTGTCCCTACCTGCCAGTCCTGTGCTTTGGTGCGTATTATTTTATGTCATGTGGGCGCCTTTAGCAGCAACTCCAGTGCCGAGCAAGATTTACAGTCTGTTTTTAGCAGCTCAGGAGACTGGAGGAAGAAAGTCCATTCAAAGCATGTGCTCAATGGATGGATATAGCATCAGCTCCACTACAGTCTGTTAAACCATTTGCCAGGGGTGACTAATGGCTGTTCATTCCTGTGGTATTCTCCGCAGTCACGTTCAAGAAGGCTAGAGTCTTATTACTGGAGCGACACTGATATCTGGGAGCAACATGACTTCATTCTGTTCCTCCCTCCACCCCATAAACTAGCTACTGTTGGAATTTAAACTATAGCGCAGTGTCAGATTCCTAGACCAAGGGCTGTGGACTCTGACTTTGCTAGAAACTCATTGTCTTTATGTGTAGGAATTCTAAGGGTGAGATATTTCACATCCTAAATATATGGCACCACTGTTGTGTTCCCTCTACTTTGAAGTACTTCGAAGCACACATACACACAGTGCCAGGCATCTCAGAGTCTTTAAAGAAAGCAGGCACAACCCATTGTTAAGCCCTGTTGAAATAAATGGGACTCAAGTTAAGTCATGTCCACCCCATCATCACTTTCACTGGGATTTAGTCATGATGACTAATGTTTTGATGGATTGTGGCTGTGGAGTCTAGGAACTGATCCATTCCCTGCTGATAACAAGATGCCTCTGTGTGAACTGGAGGGATTAGGAAACCCTTTATGCGTCACTGGAACTTGCTTGTGATCTTAACTAACATACACTGAAGAATGAAGTAAAGATAAGAGGGGAAGTCAGGAAGCATTTTCACCCTGGTTGCAAATATCTGTTCTCTCTGTAAAATAATCGAAATATCGAAAGAAAGGAAGTGGGATTTGGTGCTTTCAGTGCAATATTTTCCTTCATGACTTCTTCCATAAACATTCCATGAACATTTGTAGGATCAGGGTCCTGTTTGCTTTTTACAATCACTGACCAATGAATCTAATCCTATCTCTAGAAGCACAGTAATATTTAATATATTCATATAGACTATACTCATTCATATATCCACATATGATCCACATATATTCATATAGCATATACACATTTTTCTATCAAGTCTTGGCAATATTTTCCAAAAGGTGGTAGTTATAGACATTCCTTATTTTAAGAGATCTGATATCTAAAGACCACCTGAGCCATCATCAAACAATATTGTATCGGAACTAGCACTTTCAGTAATATAGAGAAAACATGCGATAGCCTCTCTTTTTATTGAAACTCTGTAATGGTAACATACCAAGTCCTCCCCCAAAAAAACCTTTGTATTACAGGTCTAAATTCTCAACTCATCCATCTCAAGATAGCCAGTGCTAAGGGAATCTACTACTGTATTGCACTTTGCTCAATAGTATAGCAAAACTTGCTCTCTGTTCATAGCAAAGTGCCGTAACTGTATTTCATCTACCGGCTTGAAATGAGCCCTTTCTGCAGCCTTATTCAGAACTCCTGATGTCTGGACAAGGGATGGAGTTCATAGACTCATAGTTGGAAGGGAATATGAGGATCACCTAGTCCAAACCCCTGCAATGCAGGAATCTTTCGCCCAATGTGGGGCTTGAACCCATGGCCCTGAGATTAATAGTTTCATGCTCTACTGAGTGCCCCTTTAGACCAGTGCCATTGATACCACCCATGCAGCACCCATGGGGGGGAAAATGAGAAACCAGCTTCAGGGAGAGTAGACATGTATATGGACTGGAGTCCAGGAAGTCAATTAGCTGGGTGTAAATGAGAGAGGATCACAAATATTAACAAGTGGAGAGGAAGATCAATGGATAAGGAAGAACTGGCAGCCATTTGGGCAAAGATATGAAAATGAAGAAGGCTATGGCCAACTGCACTTTCCTCTTTCGTATAGGCATTAATGTGGAAGAGCTGGCAGTGGGAGAGCAATAGCACATGATGAGCATGACTTAACTTTATTTCTTGCCAAACATATTTTGGCAATTAACACTTTTGTTGAGCTGAGGGTCAAAAATAACTGCAGGTGTGTGAACAGTCAATGAGAGGAGTTGCATTAAAAAAAAACCAACAACAGTCAAATGATCATGTCCGGAAACTAAGAGGAGTGAAAGTAAGGCCAACAAGTTAGCAACTTGCAGATATTGTTGAGTTGATGCTATTTATTATTGTACAGCTTACCCTAAGCAGGGCAATGATCTGAGTCCAACCAATGACTCACAGATATATGAAAACATAGCAGCTGTGTTCCTTTTTGTGCCTGCCACTATGAACTGCCTGGGGTTGGGGGCAGGAAAGCAGGCTGATGGCCTGTCAAATAGGATGCATTCGACATAGCAAAGGAATGCTAGAAAGCAGCAGAAAGGAAAGTCTGTTGCTCAAAGGTCAGCAAGACAAAACTCTGGCACTGGCTTTCAGGAAAAGTTGAAGGTAGCTGAATTTGTTACAAGGAGCACCATTTTTAAAAACACGCACACATACCACATTCTGTCCTCTGCTCAGATGACTAAGTGTTTATAGTGAATAATCAATATATTTCTTGTTAAAACAAGGCAGTTCATAGGAGCGAGAGGAAGTTACACACAAAACACTCCATCAAAAGGCAAACAGGCAAAACAAGTGAGACCAGCAACAAAATGTTGCAGTCGGGAGTGTTCCTGTATCTGTTCAGGATTCCACCTGGCTCATGATTCATGCGCCAGACCTCTGTACCACAAAGTGAAGAGTGAGAGTGCAGAAACTGCTCTTTAACACAAGAGAGTCTCGTTCATGCAGTCATCATAGTACTGCTGTGCATTAAATGCAGAGCTATGGGGGTTGCACACATGGCCCTCTCCCTTCTAGTAGGGATAGACAAACCTGTCAATATTGGTTTATCTCTGTTTCTCATGTTTCCAACCTTAAATTCAGTTCTCCATATTTCCATATCTGTTTGCAATTTTAAACCCTCATGAAAATTCACCAGTGGATTTATCCTAATCCACACATTCTTTCAAAGCATTTTCCTCTAACATGATGCATTTTAATGTTATTTTCACTTATATGCATTTTAATGCACATTTTACCCTAGTGAATTCATCTTTTATAAACATTACTGACTGGAGAACTCCACTGCAAAATTCAAAGAAGAGTAGATTATGATTTGCATATTGTTTGGGGAAAAGTGAGTTAGGGAGATTTTCCCCTTTATGTGTGAACTGGAACACAATTTCTCCCCATTCCTATCTTCTAGTGTTAAAAAAGTTACTAACTGGAGCAGACAAGTGGTGAATTGGTGGCAGCAGCTGGAAGAGGGGCAGAGGAGTAAGACTGGGACAAGTGGAGCATGATGTGTTATATGTTGAACCTTGATTGCTGGTTCAGACTCCATGCAGGTTATATATACAAGTTAAACAACAGGGTTATATAGAGCACCCTGATAGGTCTGTTGATTCTGCAAAGTTTCTGCTAGTCCAAGGGAAGTGAAAGAAGGAAAAGTTTTGTTTGCGCTTAAGTGAATAGTGCACAGTTAATTCCCTGTAAGAATACAACATGCAGGATCTGGGCAGCTACCTCCTGACTAATTACTTTCTTGACTGATATGGTGAGACAAAACTGTACCCGTTGCCTTGGCTCTGTGATTGGCATATGGTCTTTGTCTGGGCCAGCTCCAGGTTGGCATGGGCCCTCAAGGTGGACAGCTCTGGCTCCTCTTGCCCTCCCATCCTCTGTCCTATGTTTGCTACTGGTGGAAAGGCAAGCAGGGCGGGACAGCCCCACCCACAGTGGACAAGGGGTGGAAACTGTAGTAACAAAACCAGTGCCATGGGTGGAGGAAGCAGAAGCTGTGGCATGGCTAGCAAGGTGAGGAGAGTGGCAGGGAGGTGGTGCAAGGTTGTTGGCAGCTGCCCTGCAATGCTGCCTGGTGTCACCAGGCTTAGCATCAGCTATATCATAGGAACATAAGAGGAGCAGGCCAGTGACTAATCTTTTCCAGTGTCCTCCTCTCATAGTGGCCTATGTGAAGCCCACAAAGAGGACCTGAGCACAACAGTGGAGGTAGAACATAGTCACCAGAGTCAGAAGCTATAGATAGCCTCATCCTCCATGAGTTTGTCTAATCCTCTTCTGAAGCCATCCATGTTGGTGGCAATCATTGCTTCCTTTGGGAGCGAGTTCCATAGTTTGATTATGAAAAGGTCTGTCCTGAATCTTCCAACATTCATATTCAGTGGATGCTCCCGAGAGGGAGAAAAACCTTTCTCTAACCACTTTCTTCACACCATGCATAATTTTATCCACTTCTATCATTGCAGCATACTCCCTTTAGAAATGCGCTGCAAATGTAGCAATTTGGAGAATGTGCATTTGAGTGTCCTATGAGATGCCCCTCTGCTTTTTCCTTACATTTTGTTTTCTGCAAGCGAGACAGTTAGAAACCTGCTCAAGATTAACTTTGATAGCTGCGGACTATGAACAAATGTTGTAATGGAGGCTGAATGTGCCTCCTGGGTCTGCTAATGCCCAGCCTGCTGTATGTCCGTACGGTCCAATAGGAAGATGTGTAATGCATTTGGCTGTCTTAAGCATCCCAGACAGCAGAATGTAACAAGAACAAAATTGCCTTGCTAATAAGGCCTTAAATCCAGAGGAGGCTAAAGAACCTGGGTATTCAGTGTGTCTTTCAGTTTATGATGGATTGTGGATTGCACATTTATTGTAAGTAAGCCCCTGCCTTTCTCCTGGTCTGCATAATCGGCCGTAATAAATTATTGGGGAGCCACAAGTCCCCATTCCTAAATTGCATTCACGCTTGTGCAGTTGGTCAACGTCTCTGTCCATTGCTGTGAATAATTGAGCATGGTGACACACACTGGAACTTTGCTAATAGTTAAAATGATTTTTGAATTAAATCAAGTAATGGAAGAAACAAGGAAATGGCCTGTAAATCATGTCCAGATCCCAAGGCGTTTGAACCTTTGCTGCTGCCTGTTTGGAAGTTTTTACAAACAGCCCTTGACATATATTGCTTTTGTGGAGTTCCCCAGCATGAACCCCCTCCATCCCTTTGAAATAAAGAGCAGCACTTGAGACCTGTACTCTGAGTTGCTAGTGGGAGATTCTGCACAAAGATCTTGGCAGCACTGTGAAGGCACAATTTATTATTCCTCCTGCCCCAGTGCTAGGACTCAAGCCCGCAACCTCAGGTATTGACTTCCTCTGGTGCTGTTGCACTGATGATCCTGTCTCAGCCCACATATGATGCAGTCAGAATGCATCTCTAGTGTAGGTGGGGAGAGGAGCTGGACTATTCCTGTCCTTTCAGTGCAGTATATGTGACACAGTTGGTCCAGAGGAGTGGTTCCGAGTATAGGATCAGCAGCCCATCATTATTTCTGCCACTGAAACAAACTGAAAGGACTGTGGTCCTAGGCTTTTCAAATATCCTTTGAAAAAACCAGAGAGGGTTAATCTTTTCATTATGGCACTCATTTCTTAGCCACACTTTATCACTCCATCACTAAACCTTTCAAGCAATGGTATTTACTTAGCTGGATTTTCTAGCTCACTTTTTCCCAAGGGCTTGGGAAATCAATTGCACTAAAATCAGATTTTATTCTTTTTTGAGAAAGAGAGAGAGCTATAGAAATACCAAAATTCAATTTCAGAATCATATCTCAGGGTGGAAGAACACACTGTGTGAATATACATCTAACAAAAGTCCAAGAGGCAGCTTCAAGAGGTGGATTTGGGATGGAGAAGCAGTGTGTGTATGTGGGGTGTGTGTGTGTGTGTGTGTGTGTGTACAGTGTACGTGCAGCTTTCCAGACCTCAAAGATTTCACCCAACTCAACTGGGAATGGACCCTCGCTCATTAAACTGCTACCGGTTGATGCACATTTATATGAGCCTGTTCTGCTGCCAATACAACTATATCACTCTATTCAGTGATGTACTTTGGATATATATGATCCCTGTTAGCTGTTTTCTAGTAGCTGCCTTACAGCTGTAATCTGCTGGGCTTGAGCAAGCAGTCAGGTTTATGGTTTAAATGTATCTCTCCACCAAAAATATTTGAGAATGAAAAATGATGGAGCTAATATAAGAGAATTGTGAGCCAACTTTCAGACTTAGCAAGAGATCTGTGTGCAGGTGGGCCTTTTAATGGGCTCTGCTGAGCACTTCGTTATGTAGAGCCATCACCCCAGTTTGCTATAAAGAATTTTCCCCTATTGCTTTTGCCGTTTCAAAATTAATTTTCTTGTAAAGCCACACTGCCTTATCTTGAGGTGAGAAGCAGTGTAAAGAGAAAGTAAGAGCTGTAAAAGAAGTTAGGGAAATTGCTAAGGTTCATGGGTACTGGGCTGACTCACTTGTTCCAGCAGTCCTATTTTTATAAGCTTTATTTCCACTGCCCCTTTAATGTACCTTTCAACTAATACTGTCCTATGGAGGAACTTCCTTCCCAGTACAGCTATAACAAGTACAACAGAAATTCAGAATCCAGGAACTTTAGTCACCACTGCTTTTATACTATGAATCGTGGAACCTTGTTCCCAGTGGGATATTGAGCAAATCCACCAGGTTAGATTAAGCATGGGGCTCCTGTTTAAATCAGATGATCCCAAACCAGTAGTGTAATTCATTCTGTTCATATCAAGCATTAAAAAATTGGTTGGAGAATTTTTATTGGTGACTTGGAGAAAACGAATGTCCCTGATTATAGAAGAATTGCTAGGGAAATCTTACAAGTAATGCTGGATGGAAGAGTCGATCTTCTTCTTCTTCTTTGGTGATCATTCATTTGTCTTCCATGAACACGGTCTTAACGGTGTGTCCATAGATGACTGTGGAGGCCAATTCTGGATCCACACGTCCTTCCACATAGGTTTCCGAGCAGGAGTTGATCTCAGGAGTTGATCTCAGGAGTTGATCTCAGGAGTTGATCTCAGGCTTGCTAGAGAGGTTAAAAGCAACAAAAAAGGCTTTTATGGGTATGTTCGTAGCAAAAAGAAGAACAAAGAAACAGTGGGGTCACTCAGAGGAGAAGATGGTGAAATGCAAACAGGGGACACAGAAAGGGCTGAACTCCTCAATGCCTTCTTTGCCTCAGTCTTCTCCGATAAAGAAAACAATGCCCGACCTGAAGAATTTGGAGCAAATGATTCAACAGAGGAAACACAGCCCAGAATAACTAAGGAGATAGTACAAGAATACTTGGCTAGTTTAGATGTATTCAAGTCTCCAGGGCCAGATGAACTGCATCCAAGAGTATTAAAAGAACTGGCAGATGTGATCTCAGAACCACTGGCAGTCATCTTTGAGAATTCCTGGAGAACAGGCGAAGTCCCGGCAGACTGGAGGAGGGCAAATGTTGTCCCTATTTTCAAAAAGGGGAAAAGAGAGGACCCAAATAATTACTGCCCAGTCAGTCTGACATCAATACCAGGGAAGATTCTGGAGCAGATCATTAAGCAAACAGTCTGTGAGCACCTAGAAAGGAATGCTGTGATCACCAATAGTCAGCATGGATTTCTGAAAAATAAGTCATGTCAGACTAACCTGATCTCGTTTTTTGACAGAATTACAAGCTTGGTAGATGAAGGGAACGCAGTGGATGTAGCCTACCTTGATTTCAGCAAGGCATTTGACAAGGTGCCCCATGATATTCTTGTAAAGAAGCTGGTAAAATGCGGTCTTGACTATGCTACCACTCAGTGGATTTGTAACTGGCTGACTGACCGAACCCAAAGGGTGCTCATCAATGGTTCCTCTTCATCCTGGAGAAGAGTGACTAGTGGGGTGCCACAGGGTTCTGTCTTGGGCCCGGTCTTATTCAACATCTTTATCAACGACTTGGATGATGGACTCAAGGGCATCCTGATGAAATTTGCAGATGACACCAAACTGGGAGGGGTGGCTAACACCCCAGAGGACAGGATCACACTTCAAAACGACCTTGACAGATTAGAGAACTGGGCCAAAACAAACAAGATGAATTTTAACAGGGAGAAATGTAAAGTATTGCACTTGGGCAAAAAAACCGAGAGGCACAAATACAAGATGGGTGACACCTGGCTTGAGAGCAGTACATGTGAAAAGGATCTAGGAGTCTTGGTTGACCACAAACTTGACATGAGCCAACAGTGTGACGCGGCAGCTAAAAAGCCAATGCAATTCTGGGCTGCATCAATAGGAGTATAGCATCTGGATCAAGGGAAGTAATAGTGCCACTGTATTCTGCTCTGGTCAGACCTCACCTGGAGTACTGTGTCCAGTTCTGGGCACCACAGTTCAAGAAGGACACTGACAAACTGGAACGTGTCCAGAGGAGGGCAACCAAAATGGTCAAAGGCCTGGAAACGATGCCTTATGAGGAACGGCTAAGGGAGCTGGGCATGTTTAGCCTGGAGAAGAGGAGGTTAAGGGGTGATATGATAGCCATGTTCAAATATATAAAAGGATGTCACATAGAGGAGGGAGAAAGGTTGTTTTCTGCTGCTCCAGAGAAGCGGACACGGAGCAATGGATCCAAACTACAAGAAAGAAGATTCCACCTAAACATTAGGAAGAACTTCCTGACAGTAAGAGCTGTTCGACAGTGGAATTTGCTGCCAAGGAGTGTGGTGGAGTCTCCTTCTTTGGAGGTCTTTAAGCAGAGGCTTGACAACCATATGTCAGGAGTGCTCTGATGGTGTTTCCTGCTTGGCAGGGGGTTGGACTCGATGGCCCTTGTGGTCTCTTCCAGCTCTATGATTCTATGATTCTATGGTGAGGGTTTGCCAAGCATGCCTTCCTCTTAGCACATTCCTCCCTTTCATCCTGAGTTCAAACACCTTCAAAGTCTGTGACAGGTGTTTAGTGACTGCAAATCTAGCTGCTAACACTCACAACCAGTCACACTAGCAAACAAATCCATCCCATGGTGCTTGCCAAATCTGACGTTGCATTTTTGAACAGATGTTGTTCACTTCTGTGTGCAGCATCCAGATGTGTATGATGCACATTTGGTGCCCTGTAATAAAAGACGAACTTGTGAAAAGCCAGAAAAAAATGTAAAACAAAGGTGGTGACATATATTAAATTAAACAGATTAAAGATGTGGCGTCCTGGCAAGCATTGAACTATAGCATCCCTACCTTCTTACAGATCCAGGTCACAATACAAATAAATAAATGGGTAAATTTGGAATATCCAATTCATTTTGGTGCTAATAGCTTTCTTTGTCCCTCTGTCACTGGTCTTCAGACTGGCCCTGTTGTTAAGGTGATGAGCTAAGTTAACATATTAGAGTAACATAAAGACGAATCTTTGCCAAAATATATTTCTGTGTCACCTTCTCTCTCAAAATTAAAAGACCTATCTCTTTAGCGCCATAAATTATTGCCTCTGTACCCATAACCCCACTTAAACTAAACATCGGTAGAACTAGCCTTTTGCAATAGACATTTTCTTTTGTACACCAAGGCCCCAGGCTTCATAGAAGGATGGGTCACAGGAGTGAATTACTTTGCTGACCCTCCAGGGATTTCTGCTGGTTCTTATCTAACCCAATTGTAAACGGAATCTTTCTTAGACTTTGTGCAGGGATAAGAAAAAAGAAATTAATGGTGTCCCTTTAGATCAAGATGCAATCCCTTGCCTTTATTTGGTAGACAACTTGCAAGCAAAGGAGCACAAGTTCGAAAGAAAACAAGAGTCATTGCTGTAATCTTTCTCTCTTTAAAAGGTGTGGATTCTGTTGGGTATGTGACTTTAGCTGTGAGGACCAAAGTCTAAGAGGAGCTTTCCTAGAGTGCAGGTAGTTATGAGAGGCTTCAAGATCTTCCATGAATCAGTGGAAGATTAAATACAAATTAACCGGATTAAATGCAGGCAATACCATCTTCACAACTGCATACAAGGAAGGATGTCAACCAGCATGCCTTCTGCCATCATTACTGCTCTGTGATGGAAGTAGCTGGCGCCGAATAAAATTTGCATTGTGTAGGCTCCTTAGCTATACAGGAGAGGCGTCACCTTTTGAATCTGGCAGTCTCTGTCCATTACTGCTTCCAGTTTAGCTTTGGCAGAGATTAGGAACACAGGAAGCTGCTTTATACTGAGGCTGCCCAATGGTCCATCTAGCTGCTTACTGCCTGCTAGAATCATAGAATCATAGAGTTGGAAGAGACCATAAGGGCCATCGAGTCCAACCCCCTGCCAAGCAGGAAACACCATCAGAGCACTCCTGACATATGGTTGTCAAGCCTCTGCTTAAAGACCTCCAAAGAAGGAGACTCCACCACACTCCTTGGCAGCAAATTCCACTGTCGAACAGCTCTTACTGTCAGGAAGTTCTTCCTAATGTTTAGGTGGAATCTTCTTTCTTGTAGTTTGGATCCATTGCTCCGTGTCCGCTTCTCTGGAGCAGCAGAAAACAACCTTTCTCCCTCCTCTATGTGACATCCTTTTATATATTTGAACATGGCTATCATATCACCCCTTAACCTCCTCTTCTCCAGGCTAAACATGCCCAGCTCCCTTAGCCGTTCCTCATAAGGCATCGTTTCCAGGCCTTTGACCATTTTGGTTGCCCTCCTCTGGACACGTTCCAGTTTGTCAGTGTCCTTCTTGAACTGTGGTGCCCAGAACTAGACACAGTACTCCAGGTGAGGTCTGACCAGAGCAGAATACAGTGGCACTATTACTTCCCTTGATCTAGATGCTATACTCCTATTGATGCAGCCCAGAATTGCATTGGCTTTTTAGCTGCCGCGTCACACTGTTGGTTCATGTCAAGTTTGTGGTCAACCAAGACTCCTAGATCCTTTTCACATGTACTGCTCTCAAGCCAGGTGTCACCCATCTTGTATTTGTGCCTCTCATTTTTTTGCCCAAGTGCAATACTTTACATTTCTCCCTGTTAAAATTCATCTTGTTTGTTTTGGCCCAGTTCTCTAATCTGTCAAGGTCGTTTTGAAGTGTGATCCTGTCCTCTGGGGTGTTAGCCACCCCTCCCAGTTTGGTGTCATCTGCAAATTTGATCAGGATGCCCTTGAGTCCATCATCCAAGTCGTTGATAAAGATGTTGAATAAGACCGGGCCCAAGACAGAACCCTGTGGCACCCCACTAGTCACTTTTCTCCAGAGAGCTTTAGAGAGCTCCAGAGAGTCTATTCCAGACTACCTGGAAATGTTGAGGATTGAACCTATGATATTCTGCCTGCAAAGCTATGGTCTCTTCCTTTCAGGATGGCCCCAGATAGACTGAACCTACCCACTACTTTTCCGGGATAGGCCTGGTCCAAAAGTCCAACTAGACCAGCATTCCATCTTCCACAGTGGCCAACCAGAAGCTTCTGGGCAGCCTATAAATGATGTCCTTCAGTTTCTTAAACCTCCTGGGAGGTTTAACATTGTCCTCTTTCTATGCTCCTCCTGATGGAAACATGCAGATGCGGACAGATATAACCCCTGCTTTAAGTCATTTAAATATTGTCTTTTCTTGTATATTATTTACCACTTAGCTCAATGACTAAGCTCTTTAGTGACAAAATGTCTGATTACTGGAATGACGTCCGAGCACTGTACCACGGGTATATCACAAGTGGACTCTTTATTACTGTGTTTGCAATTGTTCAAGATAAAATCTATTTTGGAAGGAGAAGAAATGAGCACTGAAACACTGATGTAATATATCATATTACAAGTGAACTCTTTTATTACTGTGTTTACAATTGTTTAAGATAAAACCTATCATACTTTTCTCTGTATATGACAAGGGTTTTTTAAATTTAAAAATTATGTTAAAAATTGTGGGTCGTCTTATACATGGGTGGGGGGGGCATGGGATTGGTTGCTGCCATGAGCCAGAGATTATCACTGGCTATTGAGCATGTTATTGGTGGCTGCGGCAAGGGCTGGTGATGATCGCCTGTTGCTGCGGCAATTGGGCGATTGGTGGCTTCTGCCGGTGAGGGAACAGGAGCGTAGGTCAGGCGGGTGAGCGATTTCCGGCAATCCCCCCTAAAAAAAAGCTCAATAACCATGGGCAATCCTTCCCAAACAAAGCTCAGCAACTCTGGGCAATCTCCCCCCATTTCCTTAATTTGGGGTCCCCCCAAAATAGGGGGCATCTTATACATGGGACCATGTTATACACGAAAAAATATGGTACTGTACTTTAGAAAGAAACTACTTTTGCCAAGCAGTACACTGCTTAAGAACTTGGAAGGTCCAAGTCTAATAGCAGCTGGTGTATGTACACTATCATGGTGGTTCAGACTGTAGCAGAGTGCTAATTTTAGGGGCAGGGGGTTTCAGAGTGTTGGGCAGGCCTGTTTAGAAAAGCTCAAGATGTATAACGGGAGGTACAAGCTTCTGACTCCTCCCAGGGGGAGGAATAGCTATGACTTTTCCTCATCCATCATCACCAACTAATCAGTACAGTATGTGCATCTGTTTCCTGCTTCTTGTGTTGATTGAATTCTCAAATTAAGAAATAATAATTAAGTGAACAAGTGAATAATTAAGTGAACAAGCCATAGCTTGCATGTTCTAAAGCTCTTCCATTTCTCCAGAGACCTTGGCAGTTAATAGGCGATGTTTTCAGAGGTACATGTATCTCATTGTAGCCTAGCTTTTTGTATCTCTTACCTTTGTAAATGGTGCCTTAAACCAGTCTGAAGCATGGATTGCAATATTGGTGGAATCAACTTGACTTACATTTGCTGAATCAGTTACAGGATTCCTGTGCCCCCAAACACGAGAAACCTCTTAAGATTATTACTCATCTGCATTCATGAGATTTATGCAACACTTCCTTTTGAGTGGAAGATCTTCTGATCTTTCTCCCTTTACTTGTGACACTGGGGTGGGTCAGGTGATGAAATTGATCTCATGTCTTGATATCCCTGACAATGACTTTGTCAACTGAGAGCAGCAAGCATTAAATCAGGCCTGTAAAACTGGAGACCCAGCAAGCTAAACACAACACACCAGCTTTCCCTTTTGTGGCTTGCAGGTGCTTAACAACTTCCATAGTTTGTGTAGTCCCAGGTGTGGTGCCAAACGAGTTGATTAAGACACGCATGATAGGTCTGCAAGTTGCATATGCCTGCCATTTAAAAAGAGAGTCAATGTCATTTTGTGGTGAGAGTGTTAGACTCTCAGAATTCAAATCTCCATGAAACTCATTGAGTAAAGTTGTGTTAGTCACCTACTCTCAGCCTAAGCTACCATATAGGGTTTCTGAGATGAAAAAGCAGGGAAATGTATGCCACCCTGATTTCCATGGGGGAAGGGTGGGATAAACAGGGCCTCTTCTGCAGGGGCTCCCTATTTGTGGAATGCTCTCCCCAGACATGCTTGCCTGGTGTCTTCATTACATATCTTCAGACGCCAAGTGAAAACAGTCTTATTATCCAAGGCCTTTGATTAAGTAAACAATCTATGACTTTTTAAACGGGGGAGGGGGGGAGATTGGTTTGTTGGTTTGTTTGTTATACACAAAAGGCAGCATTTTTTTTAAATACTGTAAACCATCTTGGCTGAAGGGCAATATATAAATTTAATAAACAAAACTAAAAATGTAGTAAATAATAATTGCAACAAGTAATAGGGAAATGGAACTTGTCATGAAGAAGTAATCATGAGTCATTAAATCCAATTTATTTCATAAAATGGTTTTGGCATGTATTATACATACACAGTCTAAAATAGCTTAATCCTGTTTTTTGTGGGTTTTTTGGTAAATAAACCATGCATTAGCCCTCAGAAACTTTACTTTCCTCCTCCGGACATGTGTGTATATATGGGCTTCAAAGCAATGGAGTGAGTAATTGGTTAACCAGGAGGAATTCACAACTGACACCAGATGAGTAGACATTTGCAACATTGGCTTAAGATAAAAAAAGAGAAGAAATTAAAACTTTCTATTAAAAACGTGCATAAGAAGTGGTGCAGAATACAGTACCTACATATGTTTATTGACACAAACTTCTTTCATTTCTCCTGCCAGTCCCACTTTTGAAGATCCAAAGAAGGTCTCTGTCCCTGCCTTGGAAAGGTTTGTGTTTTTAAATGCTGGGATTTGGGGCTATGATAATAAAAACCAAGCCCAACATCAGCACCTGGCATGGTGGGGCAAATGCTGGGGTGATTGATGCTAGGATTATTTTATTGTTAATCGTTTTGTCAAGTTGCAAGGGTTCAGCACTCAGATGAGAAGGGCAGGCCTGGCACAGCTGCAATGACTGCCATCCGCCACCCTCGGTGCCACTGGGTCCCAGCAAAGCTACGCTGGCTGTGAAGCTATACAGGGAGCCAGAGGCATTTTGGGGAAAGAAGATGGTGGCCACTTCATGCTGCACCTGGCACCTAAAAGCAAGTTGTGCCAACACAGTTGCCTCCCACAAAGCACCCACTTTCAAGACTGGCACACCTTTTCTTGTTTTTAAAAACCTGGTACTAAGAGAAAGACTGGGAGGCTACAGCAGCCTCTTCCTGTTACTGGTCATCCCTAGTATCCAGTAAAATCACAACTTTTGCTCAAATAATTGATCTGACAGCTTCCATTTTCCTTTTTGGTCCTTTCTTTGCTGCTTTCTCACATGGAAACAAGATAAAGCTGCAATAACCACAGAACAAAGCTAGTGTTAGCATACCATTAACCCCCCCCAATGTATTTACGTTACTTTTGTCACTGTTTTGGAAGCACCCAGGGTGATCATCTGACTAACTGATTTCCTGCCATCGTATCTCAGTGCCCAGTTTTTGTCCAACTTATGGTGAATTCACATTTTGAGCAATTTAGCCAATGGCTAACTTGCTCAGAGTTCCTGTTGTTGAGTTATAGGCTGATATGATAGGGGGCAATAATCCATGATGGCTTCCTGAATCAGGAAGTGGGAAACTATTACTATGTGGATGTCATAATTTGTGAGCTAATCCCTTGTTAATTGCTCACTGTCAGAGAGATTTCTAAGCTTGTAGATTCTCATAGCTCTATATGATTATTACTGGCTGGGGTTTTTTTTGGGGGGGGGACAGTTATACCAACCCAGGATATGCTTATAAGCAAACTGCTAACAAGGATGCCAAGTTAATGGGCTCATTTCCTCGACTAAACTGTACCTGGCTGCTTTGGCAGCTTTACAGTTTATCGTTAGGACACATCTTAAATTCTCATCTTGTCAGGAGCATGCTAATTTCGTTTAGGCTATGCTAATTCCACCCCTATAGCCATTTCACTTTACCTGGTAAAGGGTGAGGCTGGTTGAGATTCTGCAGAAGAGTAATCCTCAATGACAGAATGGGAGTGAGAGTATGGAGTCTTTCCCGTGTCTTTTTCCTGTGATGCAGTAACCGTTTTACGCTGGGGCATGTCTGTAAAACACTAGAGGTAATTAAAGCATCCTTTGAAGGTACAAAAGGATTAAATGAGAGACCACATAGTGTGGCAGCTGCCATGTTGCATTTAGACTGGGGACACCCACATTCAAGTCCCCGATCAGGCATGAAGTTTAGTTGGGCCTGTCACTGTCTGTCTACAGGCTTTGGAATCTACCTTTAAAAACAAAACAAAACCCAGAATCTAAAGCTCTGCCTGCCCGATCTTAGTATAATCTGCTTTGCATTTTTTTTCCTAGTTAAAACTTGGGTGGTTAGAACATTATGTGCCACCCTGGGCTCATTGGAGGAAACCGAAATTAAAATGTAGCACATAAACAGTGGCAGATCTTGGGGTCTCAAATTTCAGCGGTGCCCTGTTCAACACCAAAGTTCAGCATCCTTCTCCCTCTCGTGCTCTATTCTAAAGTATAGCTGTGGCGTCCCCAGCAGTGCCCCTGGGGCGCACGGGGCACCCCTCTAAATCTGCCTCTGACATAAATGAAATTGATGCAGAGAGTCTAAAAGGCCACTTCCCATTACTAGGACATGTGTTTGGTGCTGAATGTACCCATCTGGCCATGTTCAAAAACTAGAGGATGCTGGGTTTGGCTTAATATGCAAAGCAATTATGATGCTCTAAACCAGAAATGGGAACCTTGCAGCCTCCCAAAAGCTGTTGAATTCCAGCTCCCTTCAGCCACAACTAATACTGCCAACAGTCAGGCCTGAAGGGATCTTTGGTCAAAAATATCTGGAGGCAGGTTTCCTGTGCTTCCTTTGGAGGAAGCAAGCTTAATATCAGAGCACGTTCTCTGTATATATGCAGGCTCACATTCAGTCCCTGAAATTTCCAGTTAAAAGATCTCAGCCTGAGAAACACTGCCTGTGATACTTGCCACCAGAATTGATGTTGGTGCTTTAAATAAACATTAGAGTTTGATTCAGCATAGGTTAGCTCATTACATTCTCTTACATCTGCCAAGGCGGCAATCCCCACACATTTACTTGGGAGTAAGTCCCATTGATTGCAATGAGACTTACTTCAGAGGAGACATGGTTAGGATGTGAGATGTTCTGGAATAAGAGCATAGGAGTCACAGGTTAACGTATGGGACTGAGCCTAAATCTGCAGACTCTCTTCTGAATTGGATGTCTTACTAGAATTATTTAAAGACTTATATACCACAGCCTAGCAAAAACCGTATTATGCATCCTTAATAAATTATGCAAATTAAATTTACATATACTGTATATACTTTGCATAATGTATTCTGCTTTCAAGACAGGTTTCCTTTTTTCTTTACAAGATGGCTGTCAGAGTGCAAACAGGAAAGAATAATATGAAGACTATAGAGTAGAGCAGGGGGACGACGACTGCAGAATAGTGCAGCTATGGGCTTCAGGGCATTATTATTTTACTTGCTTGTTTACAGAAATCCAACCCATGAAGGTTCCATTGTTTTAACCTTCACCAATCATTGCTTGCACATTTCTGTTATTTCTCTGCCAGGAACTTACTTTTAAAAAGATCAGTTTGATTGGTTGTAGTCAGCTAGTCCAACTCAGAGTAGACCCACTGAAATTTTTGAACCTATAATGCTTCAGCTGTATGGTGTGAATGTGACCTTAGTCGTGCCCATAGACTTCAATGTGTCTACTCTTGAGTAGGACTAGTATTGCATACCACCCGATATTCTCAAGATGCCAAATTATGTGCTATATTCCATACCTGAATGAAGTGTTGGCAGACATGATAAATATGCAGGATTCTGGTTTGTTATGCTGCTGCGACAAGCTTTTGACTAAAAAAACACTGGGTCTGCTGTATTAATGCTCTTTTATCAGTTTCTTACCATTAACACAGCTGCATTAGGACAAAACCTTTGCACAGTGATGGGATGATCACACAGTGAGGCACATGTGAATTCACCATAGTGGCATTCAGAACATGCTGCCAGATTGATATATTATATTGCCTTGAAACAGAAACCAGAGTTCACAAGCTTATCAGGAATGTTGCAACATGACGCTTAACACCTAACACCACCTGCAAGATGATTAGGATTCCCATTGTGTGTGGTTTTCAGTTGGCCTTATGATACAACTCACACTGCAAACTTCTCCCTTTCTTTTCCCCTATATATAGTTTTTATAGTGAGCCTTTGCCTCTGGAAGAGCCTGTTTGCGAGCAGCAGAAAGAGACAGAGAAGTCAAAACGTGGAAAGAAAAAATCAAAGAAATAGCATACTGAGACTGGAAAGATTTTTTGTTGTTGTTGACATTGTGTATATAGATATATATAGTATCACACACACTTAATGTACCCATATAGATGCAACTAACTATATTTTATTCATTATGAAGAAAGAGCCCACAATGGACAGCCTTGGTTTCTTTCATTCCATATAGAAGGTTGTTTTTCTAAAACATATGGAAATCACTTCTCCAAACATGCAGTGAGAGTTCTTGTAGTAATCATTTGCATCAAATGTCTGGTTTCCCGGTGTACCAAAGTCCTAACATTTTGAAATGGAAGCAAAGTCAGAGTGGTATCATCCAAATGTGGAATATGTAAGACAGGAGGGCAGGTTCCTCAGGATGACAAGGGAATGGAGAAGATGAGCCAAAACCAGGAAAATGAGATATCAGTTTTAATGTTAGCTAGAAGTGAATTTACCTGCTTAGTTTTCCATTTACATGTGAGGAAGAAGGAACTACAATAGTGTGGACTTGGCCCAGCTGAAATTTAGGGTCTGGTATTCATTTTCACAAGAAGATATCAGTGTTAGTATCCTCCCCCACATGCTATTCTTCAGTGTGCCATGAGGGTCCCTCTCCTCCCCCCCAAAAGCATTCAGACATGAGCTCCCCTCCACCACCTTCCCTGTCACAGCCTAAAATGTTACAATTTAGGGGGAAATATTATCACTCAATTCTGCTCTGAATGTTCCACATGCATGTGGCTCTTGGATGGCAAATGTGCCAGTTTCACATTAGACCAAGCTCAGGTGAGCCAACACTGCTTCATTCGAGAAACTACAGAAGGATTCCTGTGGAAACACAACAGCATAGAGTAGAATTGTCATATGTCTGTAAACTTCTTAGTTGCCTATAACCTCTTTCCTGCATTATATTAAAAGTAACATGTTTATCAAGTGGGTGGAAGCATCATTGGGAGGCCAGAGCTTCAGAAAACCCTTGAGAGTCATGAGTGAGACTAGGTCAGGTGCCTTTCAGCCTGGAGCTGCAACCATAGAATCATAGAATTGTAGAGTTGGAAGGGACCCAAAATCTAGTCCATCTAGTCCAGCCCCAGAAATGCATTAATCACACCTGAAGAATCCCTGAAAGATGGCCATCCAGCCTCTGTTTAAAAACCTCCAATGAAGGAGCGACCACCACCTTCTGATGCAGTCTGTTCCACTGTCAAACAACTCCTACCACCAGAAAGCTCTTCCTAATCTTGGAATCGTATTGGCTACCCCAGACCTCCAATAACTGGTAGCAGTTCTCCAGACTGAGTGAATGAGCAGTAAAATGGCAAATGCAATTCAATGAAAACAAGTGTAAAGTGATGCATGTTGGATCAAAAATCTTAATTTCACATCACATTCATGGGGTCTGCACTAGAGGGAACAGACCAGGAGGTCATGGTAGATCGATCAATGAAGATGCTGATGTCGTTTGTGGCTGCCATGAAAAAGTCACATTACAGGCTAGGGGTCTTTAGGAAAGGAACTGAAAATAGTACTGTGTACAGTTCTGATTACCTATGAAGAAAGGTTGCAGTGGCTGAGACTTTTTAGTTTAGAGAAAAGGTGAGTAACAGGTGACACGACAGAAGTTTATTAAATTATGCATGGTGTGAAGAAAGTGGATAGAGAAAGGTTTTCTCCCTCATAACACTAGAACTCATGGATATCCAATGATGCTGAATGTTTGAAGATGTGTGACACTTAAAAACCTTCTTCACACAGTGCATAGTCAGACTATGGAACTCGTTCTCCCAGGAGGCAGTGATGGCCACCAACGTCGAGGGCTTTAAAAGAGGATTAGACAAATTTATGGAGGAGAGGGCTATCAAAGGCTATGTCAGGGACTGGACAGAGGAGGAATGGTGGAGACCGCCTTCCCATGGAACAGCTGGCTGACACTAGAAAGCATTCCAGACCCCCCCTCCCAGAACCTGGCGAGCCTTAAAAGTAGGAGAGAAAAGGGCTCAGAAGCAAAAGGCCCTCAGTGCCACCTGTAGAATAGATGGCGAATGAGGAAGTGGGGAAAAAAAGTTGGAGATTTACGCCATTATTCCAAGAGGCTGCATTTCCAAGCCTCTCTCTGTAAATATTTAATAAAAGCAAATGGTAAGGACTTTTCCTTGTCTTAACCGTTCCTGGCACCCCGCTGTGGGGGTTGGTTTCCCTGAGGCCTGGCAGGCTACTAGCTATGTTGACTTCAAAGTTGGAGGCAACGATGCTTCCAAATACTAGTTGCTGGAAACTATGGGAGAGAAGAGTGCTCATGTTTTTATTTTATAAAAATTATAAAATTACTCTCATTTTAACTCAAGAAAATCACTATTTTATAGTTCAAATCGGGAAAATTAAATACAGTAAATGGACTAAAGTACAAAGATTCACAAAATGTTTAGGGGTACGTGTACCCCTCCGTATCCCCAGAAAAAAGCACTGCTTTTAGCAACAATAAAGTCTCTTTATCCAACCAAAGGATCAAAGTTCACTTTGGTTGTAAGTACAGTGGTACCTCGGGTTAAGTGCTTAATTTGTTCCGGAGGTCCGTTCTTAACCTTAAACTGTTCTTAACCTGAAGCACCACTTTAGTGAATGGGGCCTCCTGCTTGCCGCCGCGCTGTTCTCATCCTGAAGCAAAGTTCTTAACCTGAGGTACTATTTCTGGGTTAGTGGAGTCTGTAACCTGAAGCATATGTAACCTGAAGCATATGTAACCCGAGGTACCACTGTACCTAAGAACATAAGACGAGCCTGCTGGATGAGGCCAATGACCAGTCTAGTCCAGCATCCTATTGTCACAGTGGCCAGAGTTGTCCTGCTGTTAATCCCCATACTACAGGAATATAATTTAAAAGTGCATAAACGTGTAAATATCAATTTCACCAATACAAAATTTTTGCAGATAACAACTTCATACTGGACAAGCCCACATCATATGCCAAGCTGCAGTCCTAAACTTAGTTACCTTGGCGCAAACACCACTCAACTCTATGGGATTTACATTTGACTAAAAGTATATAGGATTTCGTACTTTTAGGTGCATTTTTTTTAACCGTAAGCAGGTTTTACAATCAAGATTATGGTTCTCACAATCAAAATGTCTGCAAAATTATCATGCAGCAAAATTACATCTGTACCATAGTTATAATATACTGCTTTTATGTATACATTTTTGTGATATGTATAGGATAATTTACTGAGATGGTGAAACAAAGTTCTAATATCCCTCTACCAAGGCTGGAAATTTGTGTGTGCTTTGTAGATTTTTTGTTTTTGGTTCATCACCTTTCAATAAAGTGGGCAAGTGTTGGATGTAATAGCTTTGTAACAAAGTGTCCCCCAGAGGCTGCAATAAATTAATATGGGTTTGAAAATTGCCATAGTCAAAGTGACATTTTATTAGGCTTGCTGCCTGTCTTTCCCGTGCAGACTCATTCCCATTATCTAGAAGACACTGCATGAATTTGACATAAATCATGTCATATGAATTCTGTACAAGAAGAACATTAGCGAGAAGACTAGATGGTGATGGTTTTATTGGGTCATATGGGAATAAGTGTTGTTCTTTTGCTCTCGTTTCCTTTCTCTTAAGAGCCTGTCACTATTGAATCCAAAAAATTTTATGCAGCAAACTATAAAGACACACTTGGTTCCAGCCTAAGAACTGTCCTGCTGGATTAGACCAAGCGTCAGTCTAGACCGGCTCTCTGCCTATAACTGGCCATCTGGATGCTCCAGGGAAGCTTTGCTGTGGAAATGGCTCTGGCTGAGAAATATGAGTGCCTGACCTGTGCATTACATAACTCAGGAACAGACAGGTCCCATCAATCTTCGCTATGTTCACATCAAATAGACCTTTGTATGTGTACATTTGTTCTCCTTGCAAGTTGCTTGTTTTCCAGATCAGTCTGAATGGCTTGTATTGGTTATCTATTATTAGGATGTTGATGATTTACCACCTTTGCTGGGCTGGAAAGTGACCTGGCAATGTGCCTCAATCTCTCTTGCACAAACAATATTGCAAAAATGGAATGGGGAGCTGTCCATGGTAGAACGTGTGCACGTGAAAGGGTAAAAGTCTTTTGATGCTTCTGGCTATCTGTCACCCCTTGAACTGTGTGGCCCTAGGTAATGCCTCACCTGACTGTCTGGTTGAACTGCCCTGGCTAAGAAAAGCAATCAAAATCCCTGATTTAAAAAAATTAAAAAACTTCCTTTAAAACAGCTGAAACTGAACAGAAAGAGCTCTGGAAGGAGGAATCAAGAGGGAACCATTAAAAATGTCCATGTGCCAATGCGCTGGTGGGTAAACACATCAGCCATGACCATGGCATGCTACATCACCTCTCCCAAACAGGGACACCTGCAATCTGTGCTACCTGGTAATCTCCTCCTTGTAAACGGGACCTAATTCCGGCAGGGAGAATGTAACTTACCGCCTCAGCAGCTCAAACCCATCTGGTTCCCGTCCTGGCCATATGTTCTCTACAAAGAGAAGATTAATTTATCTTGAGAAATCTTTGGTGTATAACTAATTTTACCTGCCACTTACCATAACAGGGCCAGAATCTCAAATGTGCTTACTAAGTCTCTGTACATGAGACCTGCAACAGAAATGTTGTGTTGTGGAGGCCATTGGCTGAAAGTGCCAGCCAGCCATGCCTTCCTCCAAGAGACTCCATTCTATCCCTGTGCTGTCCAAATAATCAGCATTCCATACCCACTAAGTACCGTTTTTTTTGCTCTATAAGACTCACTTTTTCCCTCCTAAAAAGTAAGGGGAAATGTGTGTGTGTCTTATGGAATGAATGCAGGCTGCGCAGCTATCCCAGAAGCCAGAACAGCAAGAGGGATTGCTGCTTTCACTGCGCAGTGATCCCTCTTGCTGTTCTGGCTTCTGAGATTCAGAATATTTTTTTTCTTGTTTTCCTCCTCCAAAAACTAGGTGCTTCTTGTGGTCTGGTGCGTCTTATAGAGCGAAAAATACGGGTATG